GATAGTGGCCAATCTTGACCAGCGGCTGGGCGCCGGCGCCGCCAGCAGCGGCCGCCTCAGCGGCAGCGGCCCTCAACTGTGGCATCTTTGGATGCAGCAGCTGCCGTTATCGTTAATCGGTAGCGTTATCGTTATCGTTGTTGCCTTCTCTTTCCTCCTCTTGTTGCTGTTGTTGTTGTTGTTGTTGTTGTTGTTGTTGCCTGGCCAATGCAATTTGCCTTGGAATTGTCCTTTGCTTTTGGGGCTTGGTTGTCTGGCGCTTGACGCGCGCCACGCAATGCCCGCCTCAACAATCCTCAACAATGGGCAAGGTCGTCGCCGTCGAACAATTTATTGCGTATTCCGTTTCAAGGCATTGGCTAAATAAATTGGCCGTCGTCGTCGTCGTCTGCCAGTCTCTGCGTTGCGTTGTCTCCGATTGCACGCACTCGTTCCGTCTGTGTGTGCACAATGCTGGTGCTGCTGCTGGCTCAGCACTTGTATATCATCAAAATCGAACTCACGTTTCTGGTGTCGGATTTGTGTCGTCCTGCTATTGTTTTTCCGTTGCTTTAGTTTTTCTTTATTTTTTTGCGCTAATTGCCTTTATTGGAATCGGTGCTGGTATTTTTCCACACGGTATTTTCCAATGTCAGCCAGTGTGGCCATACGCCCGTCACTGGTATTGCTAACACTGGCATGTTAATAACAGCGCCGCCCATGTTATTAACAGCCGCATTAACATTGCTCAAAAAAGCGCGCAATTTGAATGAGTCCCGGCCAAAACTAAAGTTTTAAATGAACACAAAAAATGCGTTATTATTGTTGGTTTGAAACACATTTATTACACATACTTGTAGTAGTTTCGGTTTGACACATGCAAAATAATACATACATCAATTTGCCATTTATAAACCTTGATTCAGTTTTCTTTTCTTTTTTTTTTTTTGTAGTATACTAGACAATATTGACCGACCATCAAAGTTTTGCTTGTAAATAAACAATTGTATTGTATACATTTATGTAGATATATATATAAAGATATATATATATATATAAGTTTATGTATATATATATATATTAATATGGATTTCAGTTACGCTTCAGTTGCGACGACAATATTATATATAACCTGTAGAAAGTTCATCTTGTTCTATGCAGCTGCTGCTAATGTACAATTTCAACTATTCGAAACGAACAAAAAACATTATTATCCATTACATTTTACATACAATTTACTTAGAGTACACGCATACTTAAAACTTAGTTTTATAAGCCCCCATTTCTTGTCTGACTGTACCTGGCCCGACATTAACTATATATATATATATGTATGTATGTATATATCTGTCTCTTTCCTACAATGCTTGCCATCTCGCTCATTAGCATGTGCAAAAAACGCACTAGCTTCTAACTGTTACATGCTGTGCGGACGCCATTTTGTTTTTATTGTAACTGTTCTGGCTCTATCACTTTCTCTCTCTCTCTCTCGCTGTCTCTTTCTTTTTCGTAGTGGTACAAAAATTGGTTTTTCTATATACAAATTTGTAGCATATTCTCTAATATTTCGTGTTCTGTTTTGTAGTTTGTTTTATTATTATTTTTAGTACATGTATTTTATATATTTTTTTTCATTTCTTTAAATTTAAATCTTTTGTTTTCTTTTTTGTTGCGCAAAAAAATGTCTTAACTATTATAATGCTATAAGACTAGTTTTTAAAAGTTATTCAAAAAAAAAAAAAAAGTCCGTATATCAAATCGATTCTGCTTTAAAGGTAATTTTACTCTCTTTTGCTTTTTAGCTAATCTTTTTCACTTTGTTTTCACTTTCGCTCTGTTTGCGTTTTCTCACATAACAAATTCGTAGATTCCATCAATCAGCTTGATGATTGACACATTTGTAAACACACACACAAACACACATACGACACATAGTTTGTATGCTGTACATCAAAATACATCAATAGATCTTTACATCAAATACAAATATTAGCAGCATGTATGTATATACATATATTATGTAATCCGATTTATCAATATCTATATATATATATACTTAAATATATATATATTTTTAAATTCATTGAATTGCGCATAGTCTACAATTTGTTGCATTTTATCAATGTTTATTTTGCCTTTTTTTTTTATACAAATTCATAGCAATTGGAGTGTGAGTGTGTGTGTGTGTGTGTCTGGGTGTGTGTGCCTTAGAGGTTGTGTGTGTGTGTGTGTGTGTGTGTGTGTGTGTGTGCCTGGGCACAGGCAAAATATAAAATTCGCTTTAGTTGATCAAATTGAACAATTAAAAATTTAAATCAATAATTATTGCTAAACACAAATGTGTGTGCGTGTGTGTATGTGTGTGTGTGTGTGTGTATGTGTTTGTGTGTGTGTTACGTATTTGCAAGTTGTTTTCTCTTGTTGTTTCTTTTGTGTTCGTCTTCGCTTTGATTTTGCATTTTTGCTGCTCTTTGCGAATTCCTTTTGCTGTCAATTGCTTTCGAGCTCAGTTTCTTGTTTTTTAAAAATATATATCAATATATATATATATATATATGTACATATATATAAATTTAGTTTCTTTTGTTGTAATTTGTAATGTCGTAACCCAAAACGTATTTTTATAGTAGTTAGCCTTTTTCTTGATCTGTATCCACATGTTTCTAAAACGTTTTCTGTTTCAGTTTTGTTTTCTTGTATATATATACTTTTTGCGTGCTTTTGTTCTCTTCTGTGTTTGGCATATAAATATTTTTTGGGCATATACACACATATTTGTATATAAATATATATATATATAGATATATATATATGTGATATATACATCTATATATATAGATCTATAGCGTATATCGTACATCTATACATTTGTTTTGGGTTTCTCTTTGTTTTACATTCAGCACATGGATTCATTTTTTGTGGGAAGGGGGGGAAGGGATTTACACACACAACAACAACAACAACAATTCTTATATATATATTAAATAGGTAAAAAAGTTTAAGTTTTCTTTTGTTTTGTATTTTCATCTTCTCTTATTTTTTCGATGCTTTTTACGAGCTGCCACCGCCGCCGCGTCCGCTGTGCGTCTGCAACAACTGCTGCTCCTGCTCCGCCTCCTCCTCCTCCTCTTGATCATGCTCCTCCTCCTCTTGATCATGCTCCACCTCATTCTCATACTCCTCCTCCTCCTCCTCCGCCGGCTCATACTGCTCCTCTTCCTCCACATACTCCTCATATTCTACTTCCTCCTCCGCTGCAGCCGCCGCTGCTGCTGCCGCCGCCGCCTGGGCCATGGCAAAAGCCTGGGCCTGGGCTTGCGCCCGTGCAATTGCTGCCGCCGCCTCGGGACTGTTGCTGCGCTTGTATGCCACATAGACCACGCCCATGATGCACATCTGGCCAGTATTGTGATCGTAATAGTTAATGCTATTCACATAGCTGGCATTCGCATAATGATAATAGACACAGCTGCCACCATGAACCGATGTTGTTGTCGTTGTTGTCGTCGTTGTTGTTGTCGCATAGGGCACCACAGCATACGGCAGCGCCGCATAATGGGCGGGCGCCAAAGCGTACGGTGTGGGCGTTAAATAGCCATTGCTATCAAATGCATAAATTGGTTGCAAGCCCGACAACGGTAAAGGTTGCATGTTCATCGGTTGTTGCGGTTGTTGTTGCTGTTGTGGCATTTGTGGTGGATTTTGTGGCATTTGCGGTGGATTTTGTGGCATTTGCGGTGGATTTTGTGGCATTTGTGGTGGATATTGTGGCATTTGTGGTGGATATTGTGGCATTTGCGGGGTATATTGTGGCATTTCCTGTTGAAATTGTGGCATTTGCGGTGAACTTTGTGGCACTTCTTGCTGAAATTGTGGCATTTGCGGCTGTTGCTGTTGTGGCCGATATTGGTGCAGCTGTGGCCGTGGTTGATAAAACTGTGGCCGTTGTTGATGAAACTGCGGCCTTTGTTGTTGCTGCTGCGGCCGTTGTGGTCGTTGTTGGTGCAGCTGCGGCCTCTGTTGCCGCTGTTGGGGCCGTTGTAGATGCTGTTGGGGCCATTGTTGCATATGTTGTGGTCTTTGTTGCTGATGTTGGGGCCGCTGTTGCTGTAGCTGTGGCCTTTGTGCCAATTGTTGGCGTTGCGGCCGTTGTTGCATCTGTTGGTGCCGTTGTTGTTGCTGCTGCTGTGGCCGTTGTTGCAGCTGCTGTGGCCGTTGTTGCTGTACCTGTGGCCATTGTTGGTGCAGCTGCGGCCGTTGTTGCTGCTGCTGTGGCCTTTGCTGTTGCTGTTGGGGCCGTTGTTGCATCTGTGGGGGCAACTGTTGCTGCTGCTGTGGCCGTTGTTGCAATTGTTGCTGTGGCCGTTGTTGCTGCTGCGGCTGTTGTTGCTGCTGCTGTGGCCGTTGTGGCATTTGTTGTTGCTGCTGTGGCCGTTGTTGGAGTTGCTGAGCTCGTGGCAGTTCCAGCGGTCGCAGCAATCTCTGCTGTTGCAGCAGTGTTGCTGTTGCTGATGTTGCATTTGCAGACGCATTGGCGGTGGCAACTCTGTTTGCATTCGTGATATAGCTCGTTGTTGTTGTTGTTGTTGTCGTTGCGGGTATTGTTGCAGCTAAAGTTGTTGCAACTGTCAACGCTGCTGATGTCGTTGTTGTTGTTGCTGCTGCTGTTTCAATTGCAGTCGCTGTAAGGGTTGTTGCTGCTGCCAGTGCAGTTGCTGTTGCAGTTGCTGTTGCAATTGCTGTGGCTGTTGCAGCATTGTCGCTGTTGCTGTTTATAGCTGCAGCTAAAGTTGTTGTTGTTGCAGTTGCATTAATGACTGTTGCTGCTGCTGCTGCTGATGATGTTGTTGCTGTTGCTGTTGTGGTTGAATTACTGTATTTGCTGTTACTGTTGTTGATGCTGCCGTTGCTGTTGTGCTGTTGTTGTTGCTGTTGGCCATTGCCGCCGCCGCCGCCGTTGTGGCTGCTGCTGCTGCCGCCGCCGTGGGCGCCGCTGCAGTTGCAGCTGCAACGCTTTTGCCGTCGCACAGCTGTTGCTGCTGGCGGCGGTGCTGCTGCGGCTGCTGCTGCTGCCGCCGCTGCAGTGCTTGTGGTCGGGGCATTGGCAATATTCTGATAGGCAATGGCAGCATGAACACTTCACCTGTGAGATGCAGCTAATATTGTGTAAAGAAATTAATTTTGTTTTAAATAAATTTCTGTGCATGGTTATATGGATGCGGTTTTTGAGATCGTGTTGTTCTATTTGATCTACCTCTGTGTGCCATATGGTGATAGCCGACGCCGCCGCCCCCGCCACCGCCGTGCATCGGCTGTGGCAGACCGACGCCGACACCGACACCGATCCCGCCGCCACCTCCTACTCCTCCTCCGTGCGGATGATGATGCAACTGTTGCATGTGATGCGGTGGCGGTGGTGGCAAACTGTGATGATGATGATGATGTTGCTGCTGCTGTTGCTGCTGCTGATGGTGCTGATGATGCATCTGCTGCTGTTGCTGGTGGTGCGAATGATGCTGGTGCGCCTGCTGCTGCTGCTGCATGTGGGGATTCATGTGATGGGGCGGCGGCTGTTGCTGCGGTGGGCCCATGTGCGGACCGCCGGCAATTTGTGACATAAATTGCGCAGCCTTCGCCTTGCCGTGCTCCTCCGCCAGCCGCACCCAGATTGGCTGTGAGCCGCCCTCGGGCACCGTATTGTTGAGGGCCTTGATTGCTTCCTGCGCCTCCTCGCGCTTGTTGTAACTGCACGGAGAGAGGGGGAGAGTTGAAATTAAATGCACATCGAATGGTTTAGGCAAGAAATAAAAACTAATATCAATAAACTTAAGAAATTAACATGAAGTTTACACTATCTGCAATGTTAAGCCTATGTTAGGCTTAACATGTTAATGTTAGTTTCCTGTAAATGCAAGCATATTGTAAATATATTAAAAATGCCTTTTAAAATACAAATTTCTTTATTGGGAAGATAATAATAAATATTAAAAAGTTTAGAAGAAAGAAAAATTTAATACAAGGCAAATCGTTAGGATAATTTCTGGTTAATTTGAAATGTTGTTTTTAATGCAACCGAAGAACATGGCAAGCAGGTTCCCGTAAAGTAGATGCGCCTAGAGGCAGAAAATTTCACTTTTTTGATGCTTTGAAAGCGTTCAAAAAAAAAATCGAACTAAGATATTCTTTCAAGACTATAATTGTCCTTTCAAGATGCAGTAAGACATAGTTGTCTGAGGTGTAAGACAACAAATGAGTTAAGGTCTTTTACTTTTAAGCATGACTGAAGAGAACAGGTCGAAACACTTGGACAAATAATGGATAGGTATGCTAAAATGTATGGAAATTCTGCCTGTTGCTGCGTATTTCTTATCCCAGTCCAATCCCTCATAGCTGGGCCTCTGCTCCATGCAGCAAGCATTATTTAAAGCCTCACGAATCCTCGTCCTCTTATGCTCCTAATCACTATCAACCGATGAGTTTTCTTAAAACAATATTCCTTTGGCATTTAATGCAAACATATCTTCAAGTTTTAAAGCTATCGTTATAAAAGTTTGCATAGAAGTCCGTGCATATGTCGAAATCGGAACGGATCGCATCAATATATATTCCATAGCTGACAGAGGAGTGAGATATCTCCTGAAAGCTCCATCTAGCAATGCTTATATACTCATAGGAGCATAATCTTATCAACATTGTTCTACATTATTCCCGAGAAAGATTCGGTTTCTAAAAACGAACTTTTTTTGAACAATATACTTGTAGTTTTTGTATGATATAGGTCTTAATTCTGCGCACTATAAATTATTTAAAGAGTTTTTCTAGTTTAGTTGGCCAGCCAGAGAACTTCGCGAAGCTCAGGTGCGCACTGACCCCTCCTGCTACTAGCCGCCTCTGCAACACTCAGTCGAATTATTATCTGCACTAAATGTTGTGTAAAGAGAAACGTAATGTCCGTAAATGTGCAGCTAATCTATCGAATGGGAGCAAACATTTGGAAATAGGGCTCCTCTCATTGAGGAGCAAGAGTAATGCCTGCTTTCACCAGGTAGCTTGCTCTTAGTCTTAGGGAGCCCCAGGCACAATTGACCATTTCGGACGTCACTTTTCTTACTCTTCCTCTGTATTTTTCATAGCCAGCACTAAGTATACACAGCTTAAATTAACAGCGCTCTGAATGCAAATTAACAGCGATCTGAATGCACATTAACATTGCTGTTAACATACAAATGCATAACATTTTCACTTAACAGTGTGCTGATTTTAACATTTTCTTAAACAAATCACTTTTCTTGACAGTTCAAATGGGGTTTTCAATATGTGTACGATATTTTATGATTAAATAAGCTACATATTCTAGTATATTTCATTTGATTTGAATGTCTCGACTTACCGTACAAATGCTACGCCCCGTGGGCGACCTGTTAGCTTGTCCCGCAAGATGTTACGTTGGACGATCAAGCCGTATGGGGAGAATATCCGATCCAGCTGATCATCGTTGATGTTGCGGGATAGATTGATCACGTACAGGTTGGTGTCCTTGATCGATTGCCCGCCGGGTCGTGCATAAGATACCTGCCATACGAAAAACAAAAAAAAAGAAAAACACATCAGTATAAAGTAATCAACAGTTGAATTCAAATGACAAGTGTTTGTTTTAATTGTGCAACGTTCTTGTTGTTGTGTGTCCACGCACCTTCAAGCGCTTATTGCGCACATAGAATCCATTGAGTTTTAGTATCGCGTCCTCGGAGTCTGCCTCCGAGTTGTAGTCAACGAAGCCATAGCCAAAGCTGTATCCGGTCTGCGAAAAAGAGATGACAACTGTTAGCCAAATAGAGCGAGATGCATGCTGATAACATGCGCTTGCATTATGTGTGTGTGTATCTATTTAATTACAATGTGCGACAGGGACAGGGACAGGGACAGGCACACGGTATCCGTGCGAGCTACTCTCCCCCCCCACATCAACCGCCCCGTCCGCCACCCACTACTTGCTTACCTTGTAGTCTCGCATAATTTTGCATGTATTGATGGAGCCACAACTGCTGAACAAATTGTACAACTCACGATCTGTCATATCCTGTGGTAAATAGTTGATGATCAGATTCGTTGCACTCGTACGATCCTCAGCAGCGGTGGCGGCAGCGACGGCAGCAGCGCCAGCGACCGCACCTCCGCTGGCGTTGCTCTGTTTGTTCTGTTGATGCTGTTGCTGTTGTTGTTGCTGCTGCTGCTGCTGTTGCTGGTGTGGGGGTTGCTGTTGCTGCTGCTGTTCACTGTTGCTGTTAGCGTTGTTGTCCTGCTCATTGTTGTCCTCTTCGGAGTCATCGCTGTCGTCATCATCAGATTGTTCTAGTTGCTGTTGTGGTTTCTGCTGCTGCTGCTGTTGCTGTTGTTTTTTGTCCATTGTCCGTTTCTTGTTGTCGTTGCCTTCGTCCTCCGATTTGTCCTCGTCGTCGTCGTCGTCGTCCTCGTCATCATCGTCGTCGTCATCATCGTCATCATCGCTGTCAGCCTCCATGTCCTCGCCACCTTGCTGGCTATCGACCTCCTGTTCTACGGCATCGTCCGAGTTCTGTTTGCAGAGAAAAATGAAAAGAACAAATATATAAGAAAATTAGTAAAAAAGCATATACAATGTTTGTTATATTCGAGAGTTTGGGATTGGGAAATTTGCATTTACCTTGTCTTCAATGTCTGAGCCGTCGTCTTCCTCCGTTTTATATTTGGCCCTTTGCTTTTTACTGTCCGGCTTGGGCATGATTGGGTTGGGATTCAATTTTTCCTACAACTATGCTCTAGCTTCCTTTTGTTGCCTGCAAGTTGAATAAATTTGATTTCTTGTGTCAGACAAAAAGAAAGGAAAAAATGAAAAAAAAAAAAAAAAAGCCAAGCTGAAAATTGCTGTGCAAAATCTGTCAAGTGCAGCGAGCAGGCGGACACACTCCGCCGTGCGCAAACTTTCGAACGTCACTGTGACAGGATTGTGTCGAGTGCACGTATTTTATGTACATGTTGCTGCGCGTTTTGCAGGCTTCGGCTTCGGCTGCGGCTGCTGTTGCTAGCTCGAGCTCGGCATCCGGGCTCTCGGGCCCGGATCCAGGCACCTAAATTCCACGAAGTGCTCCGAGTGCAGCGAAAAACAACAACAACAACAACATAAAGGCAAAAGGAGCAGCTAATTCGGCTCCCATTTGGGCTTTGATTGCACTTTTGTGTTTGTATGCGTGCTTTTCTGCACGGACAGCGTCTGTGTGCGTGTGTGTGTGTGTATGTGTGTGCACTTGTGGCGTGTTAAAACATTAAATTAACAAATTTATGACACAACCACACTCAAAAAGGGGCGCTCCGCGCCGACAAACGCCAAATGCAAAACTATTGCGTGGAAGCGGCAGTAAAAGCCGCCGCCGCAGCGGGCAGAAAATAAGAAAAAAAAAAAAACTATACCAACACAAAAATTGACCGCACACACACACACACGCGCGCGTACATATACACAGCTAGTCTTTGACGGGAGAAAAAAAAATTTGATATATGTGTATATGGCAAAGCCGTGGCTAACAGGAAAAAAAATGTGTAAATGCCTCGCATTTGCATTTTGAGCAGCGCTTTAAACAATATTCAGTTTTCTACTTACATGGGATATACACTTTGCACTAATTAAAATAAAAAAACTTTTTATTTTGCACTTCTCTTCCCGTAAACGCTTTCAAAGCGGCGACTTCACAGCAATGTAGTGGCCATGTAAAATAAAAATACATCGATACATCGGGCATATAGCGACAGCTTCAATACGATACTTTTAGCAATGCATATCGTTGCTTGGCTTGCGATATTGGAAAACATATCGATAGTTGTTGATGGCATTATGCTGGCTATTGATGGTATTGTATTTCTGTACACAGCAGACAATTGCTAATTCGAACAGCAAATGTTATATAAGCATGGCATTGCGTTGCATTGGCAAGCTTGTTGTTATTTGCATTAAAAAAATACCAAAACATGATGGCACATTCGTGCGCTAATATATATATCGATATTTTCGAACTACTCGATACTTGATCTGAACGAAAGTGAACGAAATGCAAAAAAAAAAAAAAATTACCTAGAGTAAGGAAATTTTTGCTATTTGGGAAATTAGGCAAAGTCAAATTGGCTTTAAATAATATTTGACAAACGTATAACTGTACATTAGGCAATTGTAGTCGCATTGAAATACTTAATGGCATTTTACAGGCACTGTTCGATGGATATTGATTTTATTGATTTGTTCATGTGCAAGCGCTTAGCGCCGTTTAAGGAACTTTCTATAAATAAAATGGGACTATTCGAGTAGGCGCTGTCGTTGCTGTCACTCAAAAATTGTTTGGCATTGAAATTTAGCGCTGGTCCACTTAAAATATTGTTATTGTTGGGCTAGTACAAATAAGTGCTGGTGCCCACGCGGCTATCATTCAAATTCATCGATTACGATTGTGAAACACAACAACAACAACAGCAGTAAAGTAAAAGTGCTGCCCACGCTGTAAAGTGTCTGTAATGCCTAAAGCTATCGTTATCGATTTTTGAATTCTAACGGCACGAGATGCTGGCCCCCCTGACAACAGACAACAGACAAATGCAATTGCATTTCCGGCCACAAATGCATGAATGGCAAAAGAAAGTCATTTCACACGTCTGCATTGTTAAATGTCTGCCACGGTCACGGCCAGCTAGACGCCAGATTGTCGCATAAAAATCTCTCGGGCCATTCATTGCGATAATGCGATACGCGACAATTGTTGTGTCTGTTGCCCGTTTACACATCAACGTATTAGTAAGTAATATAATTATAATATTATTGTGGCACACTTTGTAGTAACAAAAAGCGTGATTCAAGTGCTGCCAACGCGCACACACACGCTCAGATCTTGGCCATTCGATGATAAATTCGCACGAGTTAGACGAATCAGCGCTATAAAAAGTATTGTAGCCAGCATTTGGCTGGCCATTGTCTGAGCAGCAGCATTCACGCACACACAAGCGGCGATCAGGATAAATCAATCAGCATGAAACGGAGCACTGTGAGTAACGGTGAATATGAAGTGTGACCCAGCTAACAACAATTGCTTACAGGCCATTTTACACATTGCATTGGCTGCACTCTATGCCTGCGCGCCCAGCCTGGCCGTCGTACACGGCATTCAGCCATCGCTGAGCGCCAAGCACTTTGATGCCACTGCGGCCAATCGGAATGGCTATCGCTATAATGGACCGGCACACAAATATCTGCCGGCGGCCAGCGAGCTGACCACCGAGGCGGTGACCACCACCGGCCACTGGGAGCCGAATCCTGTCCAGCCGCCGGCGGAACAGCAGCTGCCGTATGAGCACAGCTTTGGCAGCCGACCCCAGACGGGCTACAATGGACCATATAACATGCAGTATTATGGGCAGGCACCTGGCGGGGATACGTGGCAGCAGGAGAACGCCCGGCAGCAGCAGCAACAGCTGAGTACATTTCAATACGCCGCCAATCATCAAGCTGCTGCTGGTGCTGCAGCAGGCGGTCAGCCTGGTCAAGCTGAGCATCTATTTGCTGGCGCGCAGCATGATCGCCGTCTGGAGTCTGGTCAGCGAGGTGCTCAGCTGATTGGCCAGGCGCTGCCCGAGCGCTATCAGCGCCAGCCCTTTGCTGTGCCCCAGCCAGAACGCGATGCCGCCAACTTTGTTCAAATGCAATCGAATTCCTTTGAGCTGCCGCCCATCTATAGCATGCACAGGGCGTGGCCGGAGCAGCAGTCGCACAAGCAGCAGCAGCAGCAGGACTTCGAATATTCAGGGCAGGGCCAGTTCTACGGCCACGCCCAGTTTGAGCAGCAGTTCCAGCTGCAACAGCAGCACCAGCTCGAGTATCCACAGTCCAGCATACTCCAAGTCCACGTCCACTCGCCCAGCACACAAACTGCCTACTTGCCGCCGCCCAGCCGCGAGTTCCAGGCGCCCTACTACTAAGTCCCCGCCCCCAGCCCCAAACCAACCCGATTCCAATCGGATCCCAACCAGATCCCAGCTCCCAACACGTTTCCAACCCAAAACCCAACCAAATCCCAGCCCAATCTCTGCTTTACGTCTCCCAAGCGAGTTTAGTTGGAGCATTGCCCATCTAAATCCTCCCCCAGCATTGGATACATCTGCATTTGTGTCCACAGCAAACGCAGTTCGTATTTAGCAAGCGGGCTCAAAACCATTTTTCATTCTTAGCTTAGCTTTTTTTTGATAATAATAATTTATATATACGAATATTTTTTGATATTTAAAATCAATGTTTAAATTATTAACAAAATATGCACTTTTTGTTTGTATTTTTCTAATGAATTCAATTATAAGCTACAAATTAAATGTTTTTAAATGATTTTACTCAAAAGTCAGTTTTAGAAAGCAGAGCGCAAGCGCTTTAAACAAATTTCATTTAGAATTCCCAAATGGTTTTAGCATTTATCAGGCCATATATGGGTTTAAGAAAGGTTTGAAAGTATGTATGTATGTATGTGTGTATGTATGTATGTATGTATGTATGTATGTATGTATGTATGTATGTATGTATGTATGTATGTATGTGTGTATGTATGTATGTATGTATGTATGTATGTATGTATGTATGTATGTTTGTACGTATGTATGTTTGTATGTATGAATATGAGTATGTATGTCAGTATGTATGATTGTAATGTGTAGGGATGTGTGCATGCTTGCACGTATGTATGTATATGTGTCTGCATGTGTGTGTGTATTGGTGTGTTTACGTATGCATATGTTATGTATGTGTGCATGCATATCTATGCATATATATCCATGTCTTTATGTGAGTATGTTTGTATGTGTTTATGTATTAATGTATGTTTGTATGATTATTTGCATGTCTGTATGTATCTATATATATATATATATATATATGTATATATATATATATATATATATATGTAAATGATTATATATATGCAATACCAAGTAAATAACACGCCCTTCTACGCGATTCTCATGAATTCAAGTAAGGCCTGAGAAAAAGCATATGGGCTTCACTTGAAGTGGAGGAGGAGGCGGCTTTCATATTGAAGGAGACGGCAGCTTGAGCAAAGAAGGAGGCGCCTTGAACGATGGAGAAGACGGCGACATAATATTGGAGGACGAGACGATTTTAACCACGCAGGAGGCTGCGGCTTTTACATTAGAGGAGGAGACAGCGGCTTTAAATAGGAAGGAATCGGCAGCATCACAAAACTGGTACGTATTCATAATTTCCTATGTTTGCTTATTACTAAACTTATTAAACTGACCCGCGATAATCTCAGCCAAGACACAGCAAAAGGCTGCGCAAGCCGCTGCAGGCAAATTTCGTTTAGAATTCGCAAACGGTTTTGGCGTGCGCCAGCTTAAGGGCCCGTCGCTGACAAAAAGGTCGGCGCTGCGCTCGACTGCGTCAATGGGGCATATACATTTTGTATGTGGTCAGTCGTGCAGCATGAGCTCAGAGTTGGGGTGCTGGGGCGCGACCTTGTCCAGTCGGTTCGCCATAAATAATCGCTGCTAATTTGATTATGCTTGTTGTTAGGCTCAGATCCGGCCCAAGATTTGTGTCCATGTTTCCGCATTGGCCAAATTCTGGCCGCTAATTGCGCGAGTTGTGTAATTTGAACTTGAGACTTGGTTTGGTTTCAGCTACTTATGTCGGGTGGGTGGTAAATTAAAATCTATTTAAATGCGCAAATTAAAGTTAATTCAATTCTTATTTTCAGCTTAATAAGCTGAAAAACTCACGCGCCGTACGCTTCACTTCCGTTATGCAAATCACCTCCAATTTCTGCTTCCCATCGCACGTGCTTTGTAATGTGCTGAGTGTGACCAGACGACGCGACCAGCTCAAAAAGTGAAGGTAAAGTAAACAAAATCAAGACGTAAACACCCACAGCCAGAGATATGATAACAAACATTCAGAGCGACGCGGTGGCGGATCAGGCCCGAAATTGGGCCCGAAAGCCAAAGGGGCGCCCAAAAAAGAAGAGAAGAGAAGAGAAAGAAGAGAGAAGAATAAGCGAGCGCTTTCAGTAAGTATTTCTTTGTGCTCTAACTGAAGATCTACAAGGTTCATATGCAAGAGGTAAGAGTTCATTAATGCCCGACTAGCAGATACCCTAAGCGCAGCGTCGACTAACTTCGGTGCTTGTTGTTCGATCTGTAGGAAATCTTCATGGCTTGAACGTGGTTTAATACAGCATTAACATGGTTTATGTGCTTCTTCTTCTCTCTTTCGCCCACACTCATGCATGTGAAACGTATTTCCGACTAACTTCGGTGCTTATTGTCCGATGTAGTTGTAAACCTCTCTAGCTATTTTATGAATTCGAGCTTCACATTAGACGAAGACATAGCTCATTGTGGCTGATAAAGAAGTTCTGAATGTAATTTGATTTCACTTCCAAGCCCATCCAACTGCAATATGCAAGTTTGTCTTCTTATTAAGCGCCCTCTTGTGGGCGCCCAGCTAGCCCCTGTTCCGCTCCTGGCTTCCACTTTCATTCCGGCTGCCTTTGCCACAGCTGCAACAGACAACTGGCAACTACAACGGGCAACTGGCAACAGGAAGTCCAGCCCAATCAAATTGTTATAGTCAGCGTTACGCGTTATGCTTAGCCCAATAAAAATGTGGTCCACTGGAGAGCCTGTTGGAGATTTGCTTGACGCCTTTATAGATCTTATGTCATGCCAATATCGGCAGCTAATCGAGAGAGACCGACTGAGCAGATACCTTCGAATTTCGTTTCCCTTTCCATTTCATAACATTCGATAATAACTTAACAAACAAGCTGAACAAATGTGTTAGTTATCGGCTTAAAATTTTTGTGGATAAAAAAGTTATCGGTTTGAAATTGGATACGCAAAAATTTATAGTTATCGACCTTTAATTGAATATGCAGAAATCGATAATTATCGAAATATGCCAAATCGATAGTTATCGATATGTACAAATCGATAAATATAGATCTTAAAAAGGCTACGTAAAAATCGATACTTGTTGACTTTAAATTGAAAATGTCAAAATCAATAGTTATCGATTTTAAATTAGATGAGTAAAAATCGATTAGTCGAGTAAAAACGATAATTATCGATTTCAGAGTAGATAAATTAACATCGATAATTATCGATATGAAAGTAGATGAGTAAAAATCGAGAATTATCGATTTTGGATTAGATAAGTAAAACTCGATAATTATCGATTTTAAATTAGATAAGTAAAAATCGATAATTGTCAGTTTTTCTGCTGTTAGATTCTATCAAACTCTGCTGAAAAGGAATCGATATGCTTCATGGACTCTCTCGCGTTGTCCCGTTGTTGTAAATACGCAATATACCCGTTGCCGATTGCGTACAGGGTATATACCCACGTTTCGAAGGGCGCGACTCACCCACTCCGCCCATTTGCCCAGTTTACAGTTACACGGATTGTTGAGCAGCAAGCGGCATTATTATCTCAACTATTATCATTAGGCTAATCATTATCATTGGGCTTGAAAATGATTTTGCTTGCGACACGATTTGCGCAAGCGCCGAAAATCGTTTGGCAGAATTATTATGTTAAAGCCAAAATTCAATTAGCCCAAAAGCCCGTTCAGTTTTATGTAATCGCAATAAGGAAGAGGTGCCACGCCCACGACTGCCCAGATGCTAGATGTCATAGCCCTAGCCAAGTGCATTTCCATTTCCATTTCCATATCCATTTTCCACTTCCCATATCGGTTACAGCGGAACCACATGGATCGCATTACTCTGCCTAGGCTATAAAAGTGGGCTGGACTGGCGCCTAGGCTCTCAGAGACGCGTCGAGCTCGCACACAAAATGCGTGGCCACATCTGGATGACACTCCTCCTGGTCGTCGAGGCGCAACAGTTGCCGCCCTTCCGCTACCATAGCTGGTTTTATGCGACGCCCTGGCGGCCCTTGTTGCCGGCGCCGGGCATCCAGCAGCTGAGCCTGGGCTATACGGGCCCGCAGACCTTTCCGGGCGCCGCTGGGCAGGCACAGCCAGCGGCCAGAAGGCCCGTGGTGTTGGATCTAGTGCGACCGGCGCGACAACAGTTCATGCTGCCCTTTCGACCCTCGCCCTTTGCCGGCTACAGCAATGAGCAGGAGGAGCAACAGGAGCAGCAGCGGGAGCAGGAGCTCGATCAGCAGGAGCAGCCGCAGCAGGAACCGCTCTTCCATGCGCCCGGCTATCCGCAGGCCACGGCGCACAGCAAGCCCATCGAGGAGCTACCAGCTGAGGCTCTGCCCACGCCGTCGGGCGTGGAGCCGCATTTTCTTTACATGTCACCCGGCAATCTCTACCAACTAGTTAGAAGCTAAGTCCACGTTGTCAATACATTTTTCTTTGTACATTATTTTCGTATGGATGTGGCTTTACTTTTACCCGGGGGGCGGGCCGCGGCTGCCATTTACTTTCCAAATGCCGCAAATTTGGCGAAATTATCCGGCGGCTTGGCTCGGTTTAGCTTGCCGCGTTTGACCTTGGCAACGGGGCGCTGAGCACATTGCGCAATCGCCGTCAAGTTCGGAGCGAGACGAGCTCCCCCATATGAAAATTGACAATGGCACCGCAAGCGGCCCGGCCAATTACGTCAACACAGCCACATAGTCCGCTCGGAAAAAGGCGGGCGGGCGGGGGGAGCCACAGCAGGCGGCAATTGTGGTAATTGCATAAATACGACGACCAAACGATGCGCTAACTAAGCGGAATGAGGGTGCCATACACTACCTTTTAAATGCCTTTGATGTTTATTTGAGTAGACCAATTCATAATATAACTTATCTAACTATAAGACACCATTCCAAGGCAATGCCAACCTAGTCCAGAAACGAACTCGACCTACCTGTACTGCCCAAGTCATGGTAGGACCTTGCGCCGTACCGGGATAATGGACCAGGTACAGCACCTTCTCGGGATATCCCAAGATAGGACATCAAATACTCTAACAACGAACTTAAATTTGGATGGGATTCCGAATAACTATAGTATAGTTACATACTCAAATGTATGCAAGAGGGTGCTACTGCACCTACTCTACCTTTTAAGTACTATAAATATATATTTGAGTATATCACCTCATATTATAACTTATCCAACTGTAAGACACCATGCCAAGGCAATGCCAACTTAGTCCGGAGGCGAGCTCGAGCTTGTGTAGAGCCCAAATCAAGTGAGTACCTTGTGCCGTACCGCAAAAAGCACCTGGTACAGCGCCTCCCCAGGATATCCAAAGATGCTGTATTATGTCTCATTTTGTAATATACATTTCAATGAACTTATACAATTCATTTTCAACCTATTACACGGACGACCTCGACCCAGTGTATTACTCAAGTTTAGTTAGTTTGTGCCTTGTGCCGTACCGAATAATGTACCCTATAAGGTACCACTGCAGGGAATCCAACCTTATAGGGTACCAACTACTCAACTTTGCTTGACACTCTTGTGGCCGTACCTTACTGGCAGTACCTGCTCTATAAAGGCTGAGCTCTATTTATTTGGCTAGTTAAGGATATAAAATAGACAATAGAAATAGATTTAATGTATTATCAGACCAGAATAGTAGTACCAAGCGAGGTAGCTCCTTGGTACTGTCGAGAGGGTGCTGGGCCGTACCGCAGCTCGTAAGTTATTGGAGCGCTAATAGTAGCACATTCCAAGCAAGCTAATTTACGTCAGCCGATAATGAGCTCATTTAATGAAATTATTAAACCTGAAACTATTAAACCTGAAGACCTCGTGGAGCTTTCAATCAGCGCAGCTGCCCCATTTGGCAGAGTCTCAAAAAGCAAATCAATGACTAATGCTTATGAGTTCATTAGGTTATTGTATAGCCCGAAGGGTATAAGCAGGGCATATTGTTTTTCTGTGAGAGTATGCAAAGCCTATACAGCCTATACGACCCCTCAGAATATATATATTTTCTTGATCAGAACGAGCTGAGTCTGTCCGTCCGTCTGATCTGTCTCTATTTAATAGCTAGATCTAATAGAGAATAATCGGCTTAAACTTTGCAATCTTACTATATACTTTATATTTTCATTCAGGATATTTCAATAACTAGATACCTCCCTCTGTACTCCAAGAATTTATTAATAGCTTTGCATCAAAGGTAGAGCCTCGCGCCTTGGTACACACATAGTTTTGTATACCCTATTTAAGCCCTCAAAATTTCATAGGGATTGGATATTAAGCTCCCAAGTTAATCAAGAATGCATTTCCCATATCTAGAGTGAGGTTTAAAGAGGAAGGAGCAAGAAGGAAGCAGGTTACATTCTAGTCTATCTTTAAATGTTAAATTTGTGGCAAATGCAAAACCTCAATTGATTGATTGAGTGATTGATTGATTGATTGACTAAGGCTGAGATGAGAAGAAGAAGCAAGAAGGAAACAGGTTACCGTCTAGTCGATCATTAAATGTTAAATTTGTAGCAAATGCAAAACCTCAATTGATTGATCGATTGATTGATTGATTGATTGACTGATTGACTAAGGCTGGGATGAGAAGAAGAAGCAACAAGGTAGCAGGTTATCTTCCAGTCGGTCTATATATTTGATTTGTGGCAAATACAAAACCTCAATTGATTGATCGATCGATTGATTGATTGACTGATTGACTAAGGCTGCGATGGGTCATTAGCAATATTTTGGGATACCGAAAAGTGACGGTTGAGAGAAACGTTTGCCGATGCGACAAGTGGATTACGAGGCCTTGGTAAATGTTGTTACGGCATTGCGGCAAACAGTTTAATTAAAAGGGAAAGACTCGGCTACACCCAATCCTAACTAAGTTGTTGATAAACGAGAAGGAAACAAAACAAAAAAAAAAACCAAGAGTGGAAAAAAGTTGAAGACAAACAAAATCTGTTACAAATTTGCGACAGCTGACAAAACGATTCGCAAGCGACAACAACAACAACAAATGAAAACATCATCAGTCAAACGGCAACAACAACAACAACAAACGTTTCCATGGTTCCGTGAATGGTTTTTTTTTGCCCAGGTTACCGTTACTCGCTGCCAAGAATATGAAAGGCCGGAGAGAGAGAGAGAGCTCGCACCGTTTTGCGCGTGGGAGGGGAGGGGGGGGGGGGGGGGGGGGTTGTCCCGTCATCCGGACTTACATTCATCAAAATGTTACTTGGAATTAATTGCAATTTACGCATAAGCCAAAATCAACTTGCCGCAAATGACTGGGAAAGCTGGGAAAAAACCGAAACTAAAAAAAAAAAAATTAAAAAACAACATAATAAAAGCAGACACGCACCAAAGCAAAGGTCGGCGGAGCGAGGGAGGGGTGCGGGCAGAATTGTGCACTGAGACATGCGATATGGCAAAAGTGTCACTTGAACTTGAGTCGAACGGTAAATGCAACAGCCGCAATATACCGTGGTGCAAGAGCGCTCGAAAATGTATCGAAATAGAAGTTGAGTGAGCCAACTTTGTTGTTATATACAGATATAGACACAGATGTATGGAAAATAAAACTCTTATAACTAACTTACTCTTAAGTCTTATAAAAAATGTTGACAAATGTTAATTAAAGCTAACTTCGTACACTCACCAGCTTAATCGAACAATACCACGTATGCTGGTTCCACGGTGCCAAGGCGACGCGTTCCAGATTAATGTCTCCAGAGCGTGCGCCCAACCAGCCCAAACAAGAGTGAGAGTGTGAATGCGAAAGGGAATGTGAGTGTGAGTGCGAGCGAGAGTAAGAAATGACAGCAAACGGTAAGCCAAAGCGTAACAAAACCCAAAAATCGCTTTGGATCATATGTAAAATGGCAACAGCAACAACAACACAACACAAAAAAAAAAAAAAAAAAATACCAAATGCGTTGAGTTGGCGCTTTTCGCATCGCCGCCGACGCTGCTGCGTCAAGTTGGCTGCGACGCCGGCGTCGACGTGCGCAATGACGAACGGTTTATTGCAGAGACCGCGTATAAAAGGGTTGGCCGGCGCAGAGGTCGTCAACACTCGACGCGCAGCACTTGTGGAATAAACGCGACCGAAAAGTTATATAAGCGAAAGAAAGAGCGAGAGAGAGAGAGTGAGAGCGAAAGGATAATAACATCGAGTTGATCGATAAAAGTTGCTGGTCTTTTTTTTTTAATTGGTATTTTTTGACGTGTACCTTGCAAAATGCAGTTCGCTGTAAGTGTTGTGAAATAACAATTAAAAAAAAATTAAAAAGATACTAACGCGCATTATGATCCTTAATGCAGTATTTTTAGATTTATGGCAAGTGCCACACTGGCGATAAATTTCTAAATGCGCCAACGAAATTCAATTAATCCAAACGTTATTTCAAATTTTATTTAATGCAGTTTCGGCGCGCGCTTTTGATCTGCGCGTGCTTGGCCTTTGCCGCCGCCGAGCAGCAGCCGCAGCAGCAGCAGCAGCAAAAACAAGTGCAGCCAAATGCGACGCCCGCCAAGCCAAAACGCGACGCTGGCCTAAGCTTTGGCAGCGGCATCTATCACGGACCCTCACACAAATACCTGCCGCCCGCCGCGGGCGGCTATGAGAGCACCTACGCGACACTGCACGGCAATGGCCTGGCCTCCAGCAGCGGCTTCGACTTTGCCAGCCTTGACACGGACAACAGCCAGCAGCAGCAATATCATCATCATCATCATCATTATAGCCAACAGCCGCACACATATCAGTCGCTGGGCTCACACCATGGACACGGACGACCCGTCTACATCAGCTCGTCCAGCGCGGGCGGCTATCATCATCGGCCGCAGGCGCCCAAGGTGGAGACGTACATTGTGCAGACCAGCAGCAACGGCGGCGGACATGGACATGGACCTGGCCATGGGCCTGGTCGTGGACAGCAGGGTCATGGCTTGGGCGGCGGCTACAGATACGCTGGACATGGCGGTGGCTATCTGAGCCTGCTTGGCGGCGCACACAAGCAGCACGGCAGCGGCGGCGGCGGCGGCAGCAGCACCTACTTGCTGGCCACGCCCTCCTACAGCAGCAGCAGTAGTCATGGATCTGGAGCGGGCTACTCGCTTGGTCTTGGACACGGCCATGGCCTGGGCAGACAGCACTTTGCGTCCGGCCTCGAGCAGCAGGAGCACTATGAGGGGCCCAGCTCCATACACTACAAACAGCAGCAGCCGCTGAGCAGCTATGGTGTGCCCCTCCAGCCTGGCTACGAGCACAGCAGCCAGCACGAATCGGCCGAGGAGGAGCTGAATCAGCAACAGCTGCCGGCAGAGCATGGCGTCGCGCACAAAACGCAACAGGATCAACAGACGCCCGCCTATGCGCTGGGCCACAAGGGACTCGGCCACTTTAGCTATACGTCCAGCAAGCCGCTGGCCCTCAACACGGACATCCATCCGGCTGGCGGGCATCAGGAGCACAACGAACTGTTCGCCGAGCTGTCCAAGACGCCGTTCATGCCGAGCGCCTTTCTGGGCGCCAAGCCCGAGCCGAACGTTGGCTATGATTTTGCCACGCCCAATGCACAAACGACGGGCTATGATTATTCGGCGCCGGCGGTGCTTTATGGTGCGCCCGGTCAGTCTGGTGACTCGGCCACGCCCATTTTTGAACCAGAATCCACATACCTGCCGCCGGTGAGCAGCTACGGAGCCGCAGCCACGCCCACGCACGGCTATCACTAAATTATTGCATAGTTCATAAACTTTTTTTTTTCATATATATTGTATACTCATCTAGTTTTTTAAGATTTTCGCCTCGGAGCGTTCTGCGCGTTCCAAACCAATAAAGCAAATTGCACACCGAGATTCGGCCATACGGCCACGCCCACCTCTCACTTTTGGCCCGAACTTTCAATTGGATGGATTAGCACGTCGCCAATTGATGTCTTTAACATGCACAGCTCATCGCTCGCAACCTGGACTTTGGAGGGGGATTTAACTTCTCCCTCTTTCCATTCGTTACGAATTTCGCTTTTATTTTGAAAGCGTGTGAAGTCGTCGTTGGATGTGGAGCAAGTGCGCCCGCAGCATGGCCAATTAGACGTTTTACCTAACTCATTCAAATATGTTAAGGGAATACTTAAAGCGTTTTATTATTCAGCCGGACATGGCCGTGCCCTAATCCGCTTGCAATCACCAAATGACTCACATGACTCATGAGTGAATCGATTCATGTCTTGCAAGTACTTGCAAGTACATTTCCAAATCAACTCTATTTTATGGCAATGATATCAAAATGTTCATTGAATTGACTATATAAGCTGCATATTAAAATGCATTCAAATATTCATTCATTCATTTCGAGTACTTGCAAGTACATTTGTAAGTTAACTACATTTTAAATGGCAAACACAGTTGCTGGAATTTAACTGCCTTAATAACTAGAATGGAACATGTCAGAGCGTTTATTAAGTACACTAAAACACCTTAATTCTCGAATGAATGCATTCATCTTATTCGAGTACTTGCAAGTACATTTGCAAATGCACTTCATTTGAATGCCATAAAACACTTGCAAGAGTTCTACTTATTTTATGCAATAGAACATGATTAAATTCTAATTAAAAATACACTCTATGAGCTTTATACTTGAATGAATGCATTCATTCAATTCAAGTACTTTCAAATACATTTGCAAGTTGTGTCCCTTTGAAAGCGAACGATTGGTACACTGATTCCTAGAGGGTGTGGCCAAACATCCAATAATTCCACTTTTAAGCTGAATTATTGAATGGATTCATGTATTCATTCATTCGTTTCGAGTACTTGCAAGTACATTTGCAAGTTGTAGCCATTTACATGCGTTTATAAGCCAAGAGAAATATGGAAAGAAGTCTTATCTTAAGTTAATTGAAACAAACTTAAAATTAGCTTTAAAACACTTTCAAATCTGACAAGTTAATTCGGATAGTTCTGCTTGTGTTTCCCAGCATTTGTGGCTTTTAATGGCCATGTTGCCATCTTCGCAATTATCTTGACATGATCTCGTGATTAATGCGTTAAATTATGTCACTTCGTGGTGGGATTATAAATCATGTTTATCTCTTTTGGCTTATGCAATGCGAGAGACCTGATCCTGGCAAGCGTTGACCCACACCAGTGCGTAAAGTGAAAGGATGAACAATTGGCAATGTTTCTTTCAGTTGGGCGCGGCGAGGTGGGTGGGGAGAGAGGGGGAGGTGGGGCGTCCGCGTTGGCGTTTGGCCGAAAACGAAAGACTTAGGCAACGAACTTGCCAGCCAGCTGTCGCACATTTAATTTACAAGCACTTCAATTTCATGACGCGCTCTTCGCCTGGCATTGGTGTGGTCAGCTGGTCAGCTAGACAGGTAGTCGGATGGTCAGGTGGTCGGATGGTCAGGTGGCTGGCGACAATTGGAGAGCAGCACAAAAGTGCGAAAGTTGGCACCACAATGGCCCAGCGAGACGGCAGTTCAACGACCAGTGTTGGAAAAACTTGCAACTTTTCAAAATTAGTTAACTTTTATTCAGATTTATTTTGGGAAAAAATATGCCTAACTAATCTAGTTTCGGGGTCTTGACTTGGCTTTAGCTTGGGCCACGTTTTCGATCCATGCGAGTAGCTCAACGACCAGTGTTGAAAAAAGTCGCAACTTTTGAAAATTAGCTAACTTTTTTTCAGATTTATTTGGGAAAATATATGTCTTATAAGTAGTCTAGTTTCAGAGTCTTGGCTTATGGCCCAGCGACTCGGCAGGTCGTTGAGACCAGTGTTGGAAAACTCACAAACAAAACTTTTATACTAAGTTAGTTAACTTTGTTTCTGATTTATTTGAGAAAAAATATGTCTTATAACTCGGCTAGTTTCAGGGTCTTGGCTTGGCTTTGGCCTTGCCCACGTTTTTGACCCATGCGAGAATCTTCTGTTAACTTTTGTTGTTTGTTGTTTTGTTCCTTTGTTGTTTTTGGCTTAATTAAATAACAATTTACGTCAAGGCGTGCGGCTAATTTGGAAGCGAAAAAACTGAAATTTCCCAGCTCAGACAGGCAAGATACTCTAGATATAATTTTAAGGTAATGCAACATACCCAATTAGGTGGGTTTCTGGCTTTTATAATTCTCAAGTTACGATTGGTAAACAGCATTGTCTGGATTGTTTTCCTTATATAGCGTATAGAAAGTTCCTGAGTCTGAGTCTGAGACAGGTAGACAGTATTGCCTGGATTGGCTTATTTATATATACAAATATTGTTTATATGTTTGTTATAGGAGCACAAAATGGCATAGACGAAATTTTATAGTTCTAGCTTCCATAGTTCCCGAGTTCAGATAGGTAGGATTTGGCTGGATCGTTTTATTTATATAGATATTTCTTATACTAACTTGACAGCTGTATAAGTAACTACATACGAAATTTCATGGTTCCGGCTTCCATAGTTCCCGAGTTCAGATAGGCAGGATTTGGCTGGATCGTTTTATTTAAATATAAATGCCTTATATGTGCTTCATAGGCATACAAGAAAGTACATACCAAATTTGGTAGCTCCAGCTTCCATAGTTCCCGAGTTCAGATAGGTAGGATTTGGCTGGATCGTTTTATTTTAACAGATATGCCTTATATGTGCTTCATAGGCATACAAGAAAGTACATACCAAATTTGGTAGCTCCAGCTTCCATAGTTCCCGAGTTCAGATAGGTAGGCGGGCGTATTACCCACTATATTATATTATATTACATTATATTATATTACACAAGGTCGATGCAAGTGGTTCGCCTGCTTTCGGTTTCGTCAGCGTGCGCTTACACCACTTTTCAGAGCTGAAAGCTTTAATCTTTCTTCTTTTTTTTTTAGAAAAAGCAAATATAATATAGATATAAAAAGAAAGATTTGTGAAAAGATATTATATATGTATATATTTTGTATGTCAACAAGTTGATTGAGGCAAAACAAGTCGCTTGCCACGCCCTCCCCAATATATGCGTGGCCGAAACAATAAATTAGATAATTTGCGTGGACTTGATGTGACGGCGTCTTTAACAATAGCTGCATCAAATAGATATATAATCATATTGTACGCGATACGATCGAATCTATTGTGAATATGCGTTGATAACAAATCTATTTTGATCGCCAGCCTGACAGTTCGTGGCATCTGTGACCTGTGCCATGCACCTGGCCCAGAGGTGTTAAATAACTGTACGAGCATTGAAAGCGATTACAAGTGGGTATCTTGATTATGTGCGCATTTATGTAACAGACAGAAGCGAGCACGAAGTATAAATAGTTTTAAGAGAGGCGCAGCTTATGTTTATTTCCAATCGATAGCTTGCTATCGATATCGATAAGTATTTTTTTTGTTTATTTTCTAGGCCCTCATATAGTATATACTGACGTAGAATATAAGAACAAACGCATTTTTAGGGTATTTTTCTGAGCTTTGATGTGTAAACACTTTTCGCCGCCATTTTTATGCTCTGCTAATTTGTCAAGGAACAAACCACATAAACACCACAGTTATTTAAGAATGCCGATCAGCTTAGAACAGGGTATTTACTAGTTGGTACAACTTCTTGCAAGACACGACAACAGAAAGAGCGAGAGAGAAAAGTAACATTTCATTTTACTTACATATGTTATTTATTAGTTGTTAAAGCGCAGCCACAACGGCCATACATTCACTTTTAATGCCCTAAACCAATTGGCAATGGACTTAAAGGGTATATTGCTTTTGTGTACAGTTATGTGACAGGCGGAAGGACGCGCGACCCCAGGAAAACGAAATGACTTGCAATTCAGAAAAACCCCTATTCATGATATCAATAAATATCGCCTCTTAATTATGTTAAACATGAATTTGCTAATGTTATACATAGATAAAAGTCAATTGCGTAAAGGGCATCTGCTCGTCGCATATACTAGACACACTCAGCCAGTTGCGGCTCATCAAAATTGTTAGCAGCTCGCGCTTTTCTGGTGCGTTCTGTTAACAGCCCATTGAAAGCCACCCTGGTCCGCCATGGCTTCAGTTTTGACCACATTACGTAATTGGCCCACATGGCCCTAAAGCCTAAACTAAATTTTATTATCTACATTTGTATCAGTATCAGTTATTATAATTAGGCTTTGAAAACTGTGGGAAAAATTAATGTGTCAGTGTGTGTGAGTGTGTGTGTGCGTGAGTGTGTGTGCGTGAGTGTGTGTGTGCGTGAGTGTGTGTGTGCGTGAGTGTGTGTGTGCGTGAGTGTGTGTGTGCGTGAGTGTGTGTGTGCTGGGCTGAACTAAAAGTAGGCTAAGGCACGCCCTGTTGCGGTAGGTCATGAAGTTGCCAGGCCATAAAAATAATGCAGAGCACTCTTAAATTCAACAATTCAATCAAGTAAAAACCATACAAAATTAGCTAGATTCGACTGGCAGATACCCTATAAAAAGCACAACTAACTGATATATTCAATAAATATATGTAATTTAGTATAAGAGAAGGGTGTAAAATATATATAAATATTATGATTGTTTTTCATAAGCTAGGCAACTGCTTTCAAGCGATCTGGCAACATTGCAACCGTTTTATCTAAACGTTAAGTTGGTTGCGCTTGAGTACAAATATTCGAACTTAACTGTAAATCAGCAAATGCAAAATTAAATGCGATAAAACGAAGAAAAGACAATAAATCAGCGAGAGAAGCCATAAAAAAACAATCAGGCATGTTGCAACCACTTATCCAATGTATCATTAATCATAAACTACTTACAGGCAATTAGCGTAAAAGTTAAATGATAAACTTGGAGCATGGATGAACCTCTGCTGAGTGCCCAGCCCCAGCTGGGTGCTAATGGCTGGCACATTTGATGAGCATACTCTTTCGCAGCTGGGGCATAGCTCCGCTCCAGATTGTCATAGCGCAGGAGGGAATGCTGCGCCGGCTAATCGTCGCAGGCATTACAATCTCATATTCACGGACTCGTATGCGGCCTTTGCAGAGATCGAGGTGGAGTCCTATGCCCGTGACTACAACTACAACGAGCACTACTACATCTTTCTGCAGGCGCGCGATCGTCTGCTGTTCGGCGAGATGCGCCGCATCTTTGCGCACTGCTGGCGCCACCAGCTCATCAATTGCAACGTCCAGGTGCAGAGGGCCAACGGGGAGATCCTCTTGTACACGTATCTGCCGTTTGGTCCGCAGAGCTGTGCTGATATGAGTCCACAGCTGATCAATCGCTACAATGGCAGCCACATGCTCCATCCGCAGATCTTCCCCCGCAAACTGGGCAACTTCTTTGGCTGCCCTCTTCGTGCCGCACTCTGGCATATGCCGCCGTTCCTCTAGCTGGAGGCGACAGCGGGATCCGATGCGCGCATCGTTGGCGGCCTCGAGGGGCGCCTCTTGCAAACGCTCATCCAGAGACTCAACCTGACCATCCAGGTGCGCGAGCCACCGCCTGGACCGGGCCTGTTGGGCAATAGAATGCTGCAAATGGTGAGTGACATGTTGTCTACTCCTCCACCCAAATGACTATCTTCTCTTTGTTCTGTTGGCAGTTGCAACGTGGCGAGGCGGATCTGTGTGTGGGCGGCATTCGTCAGACGGTGGCACACAGCCTGCTGGCCACATCGACCCACAACTATCATCAGACGAGCCTCCGGTTTGGCGTTTTGGGCATCACATATGAGCTGAGCTCCCTGGACATTCTGCTCTATCCATACCCAACTACGATTTGGCTGGCCATTGGCCTTGTGCTCGCACTTTCGCTCCTGCTGCACCTGGCAATGGACCGACTGCTGCTGCCTAGGGAGCAGGGCTCCGTCTGGCTCAACCTGGTGCTGATCTTCGTGGGCATGCCCATGCTGCAGACGCCGCGTTCGATCGCCAAGCGTGTGCACTGCATCATGCTGATGCTCTACACATTACTCATACGCACCATATACCAGGGGCTGCTCTACCATCTGATACGGACGCAGCAGCTGAATCGGCTGCCGCAGTCCATCGAGGAGCTGGTGGCCCACAATTACACAGTGGTACTCTCGGCTGGCATTCACGATGTGCTCGCCGAGATACCCACCGTGCAGCAGATGCGATTCCGCATGCTCGATGGCGACGGCACCCTGCTGCAGCCCCTGCATTACCTAGCGGAGCGTCCATGGGACAAACGGCAGGTGGCCGCCACTGTGCTCGAAATCTTCTTGATGTACAATCGCTTGGGTGACCATGTACCTCAGGAAGCACTCCTTTCTGATCGATGCGCTCAACGAGAAGATCAATTGGATGCGCTCCGTAGGAGCTGGACGAGAGCCACTTGAGAGCACTGCAGTCGAGCAGCTACCGAATGCTGGGCCTGCAGGAGCTGCACGTGATATTTGTCCTGGTCTGGATCGGACTGTTGCTGAGCTTGCTTCTCCTTTGCCTCTAGCAAATATCTCGGCGCTCAGCGTGACGCTGGCTTTCATCAAAATAAATGATTGGACATAGTCGAATTGCAGGTATGTTAGTTTGCGTTCCGGTTGAAAACCGAAATCCCAATTCATTTTGTGCTATTTATTGAAGCGAAACCCGAAAAGTGGGCCAACCCAACCAAACACACTAAACCCAAGCATTGGGTTTAGATATGACCCCTGTGGAAGATGCCAATTTTGGCTGGCAACGGTAAGGCTTGCAACATTTCTAGCAATTATGAATTCGCATGGAATTGTTTAATTAAAATATATTAAATATTTTCAGACGCTTAAACCAAGACACTGATGGATAAAAGCTGGACTGCACTCGACGACAGGAAGCTAGTTCGAAGCGTGATATAGTCAGCCTTTTTTTTTGTGGGATGCAGACCTTTATAGATGGGTCCCTTAAAGGGAGGCAATAATCGTAGCGCGCTGGTTCAAACCACGCTTGAAAAACTTGTTTTGTTTCGCAAGATTTCTTACAAGCTTCACTTTATATAGAGGCAAATCCTTGTCCACAACGAAGCAGTATATCATATAGTTGCCATAGAGTTAGTCAGACGAGTATAGAAATAGATATCAGGGACATTTAATCTACTTTGCCGTATTAGTAAGGAATGTAATTAATCGAACAACTGTTCCGATATATATATATATATATATATATGGTAATAATGTATTATGAGCATGGCATTGGGTCATCTATATGGAAAGTTAGCTCCGATATAAAGTGTCCGTAAATGAGATAAAGTTCAGATGGGAGAAACATATTTAATTGACAAATTCGACAAACGTTTTAGAGACTATAGTAGAACTGTCGCGCGTCCAGATAGAGAGCGATGCCCACCCAGATGAGCGTGTTCCATACGGCCTCCAGCAGCAGCAGAAAGTGCGTATTCATTGCGCCGATGCGCCAATGCCAGGGCAACATTTTGTGCATGATCGTATGGCCCACATACATGATGATGGCATTCATGCCGCATTCGGTGAACGGATAGCCGGACCACAGCTGGCGCACATCGACCACATAGTAGAGCAGCGAGAGCAGCACCAGGGCCAGGGCAACGGTCACGAACACAAACGAAAGGGACCACAGATTCTTGTTCACGGGAATGATGCCCTGCTCCCTGGTAAAGCCGCACAGAGCGCCGCCCAGCAGGCCCAGAAGCGTGGCGCCCAGCAGCCAGCGTTTGAGACGCGCCTGCCACGTGGCGTGCACCAGAAGCGTGACGCCGGCAAAGGCGCCCAACAGCGTTTGCACCACGCTCAGCAGGCAGCCTGCAAAGGAAGGGAGAAGAAATTAGAAGATGTGGATGTGGAAAAGCAGGTTTCGCTGGCACCTACCAAAGACACCCTCCGGATCGAAGGCGGTTGCATCGTAGACATATTTGGCCGTCGGATGCTGATAGATGTGGGCATTGCCGAGCACCTGGCGATCAATGTAGCCGGCGGCGCCGCCAATGCAATTGGGATTGGCGGCATTGTTGTGCTTGCCGCCGGGTCCGAGATAGCCGCGCGGACAGCCCGGCACCGGCAGGCCGAACGTCAGGCCCAAATAGGCGGCAATCAGGGCCAGGAGCACGGCCAGCTCGCCGCTGAACAGGCAGATGTCATAGATGGCGCGCTCCCAGGCGCGCTGCGGACTGAGCTGATCCCGCCGGCTGCACACCGTGTGCAGCAGGCCAACAACCAGGAAGGCGATGCCAAAGCGCTGCAGCACGCCCATCAGACGCAGCTGCTCCAGCTGGGGGCCATTTGTCGAGTTGAGGCACAGTCCAATCGCAAACAGTTTGCACGAACGCCAAACGATGCGCCCGCAAATACGCGATTTGCTGATGCCACGCCCCAGTTGCGACTTTATCGATAGGGGTATGCAAACGCCCATGATCCACAGGAAGCTGGGAAAGACCAGATCGGCCAGATGGAGGCCGTTCCAGGCGGCGTGCTCAATCCAGCTGTAGCCGCCGCCGCCGCTGTTCACGAATATCATCAGCACAATGGACAGGCTGCAAAAGAGGCCAGCGTATGCCGATTACAGGGTATACCGATTACAGGGTATTCACTTACCCTCTGAACGTGTCCAGACTGCGCAGCCGCTTGCGCTGCGTCGCCTTCGCCGCGGCATCCCCAATGCTGTCCGCCACGGCGTCCGCCTCATCGTAGCGATAACGTTTCCAGATGCAACTGATCAGCTTCAGCAGGATGACCAGCGCTGCCACCAGCACAAAGACGGACAGGAAGGCTGGCGGGGTAAGTACAGTATGTCAATTCAAATGATGCCAGTGAAACGTTTACGAATCAATGAATTTATATATTATAGACAGAGACGAATTGAAAAGTGGGATGAATCGAGGAATTCAGCGCTGCCAGTAAAACGTTTGCGAATCGAGAAAGCGCTCCCAGTAAAACGTTTACGAATCAAGAAATCGCTGCCAGTAAAACGTTTACGAATTGAGGAATTTAAATATCTTAGAGAGAGAGATGAATCGAGGAGTTGGAATATCATGGGGAAGGACGCATCGACGAATTCATATAACATATATCATACAGACAGGCGCAGCACGTGTGCAGCTCTGCCAGTAAAACGTTTGCGAATCGAGAAAGTGCTGCCAGTAAAACGTTTACAAAGCAAGGTATTTAAATATCATAAAGACAGCATTAGTACGTGTGTAGCTCTGCCAAACGTTTCCGTATTGAGGAATCACAGAGGAATCGAGGAATTCATATATAGGGAGAAACAAATCGAGGAATTCGAACTCGTGCAGCTCAGCTAGTAAAACGTTTACGAATCCTATCATATCAGGTCCCTATACTAAAACCTGATGTGCTTGTAAAACGTTTACGGACACAGCACAAGAGAGAATTGTAAAATAGACTACGCTTGAAATTGAAAAAACGATGGGCAAGGAAAGAGAGGGAGATAAGGGGATCGGTAAAGAGAGAGCGATAAAGATGGAGAAAGAGTGAAATAGAGAGGGATAGAGGGAGAGAGAGAGAGGGAGGGAGAAGGGAGAGGGTTTCGAACCATTTAAGCCCTGAAACCATTGAAAATGGGGAAAACAAAGCATGTTTTCTTGAAAATGTATGTAACAGGCGAACGAAAGCATATCAATTTGGAATAGACTCGCTTTAAATATTCATTCCCTGAATATTTTCTATAAACATATCGGAATTCCAATTACAAGTACACATCAACAACAGACCGTTCCGAGAACCAGAGAAAACCCCCATTATAGAGCCCAGAATAGCTGACTCTGTACAAGTTTTTGCTACAGTAGTCACTCGCATGTTGACACCCGATATGATATACGATTAGTATATATACTATATATAGTATTATACATACTCAAAGCGGAGATAACAACTTGTCAAAAATAAGAAAATCGTTTTGAGAATTATAAACAATTCTTAATGCTCACAATTCCTTTTAGCGACTGAATACTGTACGACTTTTGATCTAAGCAAAAACAACAACAACAACAACAAAAGGCCCCTCAATATGCTGCCTAAGCATTTACATTATAAGTAGATGATTTTTGATGATAATGGCGATTAGATTGGCTAACGGAGGAAATTGGCACTTACCGTAATTAATGGGAACGCCGGGCTTGTCAACGGTAAAGCTGCAGCTGCCATTGGCCAGTAGTGTGAGGTTATACACGCCAAATTCTTGTAGATCGCTGCGACGCAGCGCGCACAACGATGAGCTGCGGGGGGGTGGGTGAGGAGAGAGAAGAAGAGCGCATAAAAGAGAAATCAAGTGAATAAGCTTAAAGTACACACACACAAACGCGCACGCACACACACGCACGCCCACACTCATAAGAATAGCTTGTAAACAGATGTCATGATAATATTATTGCATACATATATAAATATGCATATACTATATATGCATGTGCATATGCAGATAGCATATGTGTGTCTGAGCGTAGTAGAGATGGGCGCGTGCCGCATTTTTAGCGAAACGATACTCACAGACGACAAAATTTGCAGTTACGATCATAGATCTAGGCAAGGTATATATATATATATATATACATTTGCATTTATAAAGCACAAATATAGCATTATCTTATGAGCTTTTGTAACAATTAACCGATAATATTCTAAGCTTGATGAACAACAAAATCAAAAAGATCATTAATTAACGATAAAAATTCCCTTTTGCCTGAACACGATCACGTGCTTGCACGAAATTTGTCGTTAAGTAGACGAAAATCCTTTGCATATTCGTGTCACGAGAAAAACACGAAACGCGCTCAACGCTAGAACCTAGTAAGACACACATACACAGAGAGACGTGCACACACACACACACCGATTGCAACACATACACATTCTCGTAGGCATAGTGACCCTGATCGTGTGCATAAATTTTGAAACTCAACGGGTATGCGGTGCTGAGCTTTAACGGTTCCAGCGGCAGCGCGCCAGCGGCGGGCAGAGCTTTCACTTTGGTAAACGGACACTGCAAATACAACAACAACAGCAATTAAAGCTTTTTAATGCAATGTGGCGGGAAATTGTGTTGACATACCGTATAACATTCATCGGAAAGGGTATATAGATAGCTTGGCTCCGCATGCTGCGTCTGCAAATACATATAGGCCTCGTCGGCGCCCAGGGCGCGCATATCCAAATCCCGCCAATGGGGCTCCGTGTACTCCACCAGAAACGACATACTTGTGCGCAATTCAAGTCGAAGTCTACACAGACAATTCTCAATTGTTTGCCAGTTCGGCAGTGCGGAGCGCGCACTCGATATGGCGCCGTTGACGACTAACTGCGCTCAAGCTGCTGCAAAATTGCCATATCAACGCCTTTTTTTATATACAAAACGAAATGGAAACTATTTCGAGTGCGCAATAAAAACAAAACACAAACACAACAACAAAAATATGCCAAGCAGTTGCAGCTAACTGCAGCGTGGTGAATAATGAATACCCTCACCACGTGGTGGCAAGAGCAAATAGACTCAGACTCTAACGGTAACAGAAAACACACAAAAGGCAAGTAATTGCTGCAATTCTAATTAAAAGAAAATTCAAATTAAGTTAATTAATAATAACTTGTTAATATATAATTTGAAAAAAAGTTCAATATTATTAAGGGGCGTCGCATGTAGCTTGTGAAAGTGTTGGGGGTCACACTGGTTAGTGCATGAGCATAAACAAACTTGTTGCAGTGTTGTGCAATGGTCAAGCAGTGTTGACAATGAGCGCTGTTTATCGATAACGACAACGCTGCACGTAACAGCTGATTGCGCTGATGAGTGGCAAATAATTGTTGCTGCCCTTTGGCTACAGGCCCCGTGGCTGTGTGTGTTTTGATCAACGCCCGCCCCCCAAATGGCCACTGGCACCGGCACAACGGAGACGCGACGCCTCTGCGCCATCACATTCTTTGCCAAACTGCATCCGGGCGATGTCTGCGGCAGCAATGGCCTGCCCCTAACGCCCAATTCGATTGCAATTTTGGGGCGTTCCCAGCGGCTCAAGGAGCTGCAGCATGAGCATTTGTGTCAGTACCTGGACGTGGTGCGCAGCAAGCATGGTAAACGCTGACGTGACAAGGCCAACTGCATTATTCCCTGCCCGGTGTACAATTTATTCCAGTGTCTTCTTATTATTTGTAGAGCGCACCATTGTGGTCTCGGAGTACGTGGGCTGCACGCTGGTGGAGCACGTGAAGCGGCAAACGTCGACGAGCACCGCACAGATGCTGTGCATTTTCCAGCAGGTGGCCAGCGGTCTGCATGTGCTGCACGGGCACAAGCTGGTCGTGCACAATCTGGAGCCGCGCCACATACTTGTAGAGAGCCGTGCGGGAGCTGTGCGCGTTAAGCTCTTCAATTATGGCATGCACTATATGACCAAGGGCGGCGCCTATGTGCCCTTTCCCATTGGCAATATACGCTATATGGCGCCGGAGTGTCTGCTTGGCGCCAACGACAACATCAAGAGCGACATTTGGGCCTGGGCCATGCTGTTGCTGGAACAGCTGCTGCAAACGGAGCTCTGGCCCAAGCTCAAGCTGAGCAACATTGCCTGGAAGCTGTTGGCATTTGCGCGCAACGCCAACACCGGCGGCGTTGTCGAGAAAATAGCACGGGAACATCAGCGCTGGGATCGGTATCGGCAGCTGCCATTGCCCGTGCGCGAGCTGCTCGAGCGTTGTCTGAGCGTGCTGCCGGCACAGCGACCGCTGCCCGCCGAGCTGCTGCAGCACGCCTGCTTTGCAGCGCTGGGCGAGCACAGTCAAGCGAACGTTGCGGAGTCATCGCCGTCGTTGCCGTTGCCGCTGCTGCTGCGCTGTCCGCTGGCGCAGATCTATCACCTGTGGCAGCTGGCCGGCGGTGATGTGCAGGCGGAACTGAAAAAGGAGGGACTCATACGCAGCGAGGCGCCCATTTTGTCACTGCCGCAAATTGTCCGTCTGAGCGGCGCCAGCGTCTGCCCGCCGCGCAGCCAATCGCATCTGATGGACGAGCGCGTCGTGCTGCTCAAGCTGCAGCCCCTTCTGCAGCGACTCAGCCGCCTGCCCGCCAGCGTCTACTTTCCGCTGCTGCACACGCAACGCCTGCAGCCGCAGCATCAGCAGCAGCAGCAACAACAGCAGCAGCAACAGCAACAGCAGGAACTGCCTCTGCTCATACGCGAACGCGACATTGAGTATCAGTTCCGGCGCGTGCGACTCTTTACACGCCTGCTGCTGGGCTATCCGCACACGGCCGAGCAGCTGCAGCGGGAGGCGGCCATTGATATACCGCCGCTGTTGCGCGGCCCCATCTGGGCGGCCCTGCTGGGCGTGCTGCCCAATGCGAGCTATGCGAAAATCGACAAGTTCACGGCCACAAGCACGGATCGCCAGATCGAGGTGGACATACCGCGCTGCCATCAGTATGATGAGCTGCTCTCGTCGCCGGACGGCCATCGCAAGCTGAAGCGTCTGCTCAAGGCCTGGGTGACGGCCCATCCGCAGTATGTCTATTGGCAGGGGCTCGACTCGCTGACCGCGCCCTTTCTCTATCTCAATTTCAACAATGAGGGTAAGTGCGAGGCGTTCCCTCAAAGAAATTCAAATGGAATCTGATAAACTCTCTTGTAATCCTCTGCAGAGCTTGCATTTCTGAGTCTGTACCGTTTCATACCGAAGTATCTGCAGTGGTTTTTCCTCAAGGATAACTCGGCCATTATTAAGGAATATCTGAGCAAATTCTCACAGCTGAGCGCATTCCATGAGCCGCTCTTGGCCCAGCACTTGGCCAGCATTAACTTTATACCGGAGCTGTTCGCGATACCCTGGTTCCTGACCATGTTCTCACGTATGTAGATTCTGTCTCCTGTGTTTCACCGACTGACACCAGCTGATTGATTGATTGTTGGACGCCAATACGTGCTCTCTGAAATTTCACCTGCTTTGGTGGAATATAGGCGGAATATTGGTGGAACATCCATGGATGAAATGTTAATAGAATGCAAGAAAAACAGATGCAATGATGAGAGTTAAGTAAAATCCAACATTTTCCACCCCACATGAAATGGTGGAATATAAGTGGAATAAGAATATTATTGCAATAGAACAACTTGCAACATATTCCACCCAGATGGAATGGTGGAATATTGGTGGAATGCAACTTTTTGTGACATATTAAAAGGTGGAATACCCAGTTGAAAGATTAATAGAATGCAACAGTTTCCACCCCACATGAAATGGTGGAATATAAGTGGAATGCAACTTTGCAACATATTCCAACCAGATGGAAAGGTGGATTACCCAAATGGAACTGTGGAATTAAGTTTTTCAAACACGTCTCAAATTAAATTTGCACAAAGAACTTTTGAACGCAAAACTTTCACCAAGTCAACTTTCAGCTCACTTTCAACAAGGCGTGGATTTGCGAAAAGTGTGAAAGATATCCGAAATTAATGTTTCTTAAAGAAGGAAGGAAGTTTCACACAACAGTTTTCCACCAATTTTCCACAGCTGCAGGTGGAATGCCGTATAATCAATCAGTCAATCAGTCAATCAGCCGGAGCACACAGTTATCTATGCATAAATATACCTGTATTCAAATGGATTCTTTGTTTTTTATGCAGACGTTTTTCCGCTGCACAAGATATTGCATTTGTGGGACAAGCTGATGCTGGGCGACAGCTCGTATCCGCTGTTCATTGGCGTCGCAATACTGAAACAGCTGAAGAGCACGCTGCTCAGTTCCGGATTCAACGAGTGCATCTTGCTCTTCTCCGACCTGCCCGACATCGTGATGGAGAGCTGTGTGATCGAATCGCAAAAGATGTACGAGTGCACGCCGAAGAGCATCACGCATCGCCAGCACGCGCTGCGCACGCAGCCGGCACATGTGCTGGACATTGGGCTGGCGGATGTGGAGCTGCGTCATCTGCAGGCGGAGCAGTGTCCGCGCATCAGCGCCAAGGATGTGCATCAGCTGCTGATGCAGCAGCCCGAGCAGCTGGCACTCATCGATTTGCGCAGCGTTGTCGAATACGGACGCGTCCATGTGCCGCACAGCATCAATATACCCTTTGCCACCGTGCAGCTGGGCGAACAGCGTCTCGAGGCGCTACAAGTGCCGCAGCTGGAGGCGCAGCTGCGCCAACGCATTGTCGTCTGCGTCAGCAATATACATCAGCACGCCGTCGAGGTCAGTTGGCATAAGCTGTACGCATGGGAAGGCTTTAAGAAAGCCACATCGAGTCCATAGCATATAAGCTCTTGATTAGGACCATGTGCATCCGATATCTGTCCGATGGGAAACTATCTAAGAGCCACATTTGATATGTGGATATATGTATAATTATTATTATATAGTAGATGGTAGATACAATAGATATAGATGGATAGATAGGCAGATATATATATATATATATGGTACATATATAGAGAGATATAGAAAGATAGATAGACAGATATAGATAGATAGATAGACATATATATAAATAGATAGATAGACAGATATATAGAAAGATAGATGGGCAGATAGATAGATATATAGATATATAGATAGATAGACAGATATATATATAGGTAGACAGATAGATAGATAGATAGATATATAGATAGATAGATAGACAGACAGATATATAGATAGATAGACAGATAGATAGACAGATATAGATAGATAGATAGGCAGATAGATAGATGTATAGATATATAGATATATATATAGGTAGATAGATAGACAGATATATATATGGGTAGATAGATATATATGTAGGTAGATAGATAGATAGATAGATATATATATAGATATATAGATAGATAGACAGATATATATATAGGTAGACAGATAGATAGATAGATAGATATATAGATAGATAGATAGACAGATATATATATAGACAGATAGATAGATAGACAGATAGATAGATAGACAGATAGATAGACATGTAGATAGAAAGATAGATAGACAGACAGATATATAGATAGATAGATATATAGATAGATAGATAGACAGACAGATATATAGATAGATAGATAGATAGATAGATAGACAGATATATAGATATATAGATAGATATATAGACAGACAGATATATATATAGGTAGATAGATAGACAGATATATAGATAGATAGATAGACAGATATATATATGGGTAGATAGATATATATGTAGGTAGATAGATAGATAGACAGATATATAGATATATAGATAGATATATAGACAGACAGATATATAGATAGATAGATAGATAGATAGATAGACAGATATATAGATATATAGATAGATATATAGACAGACAGATATATATATAGGTAGATAGATAGATAGACAGATATATAGATAGATAGATAGACAGATATATAGATAGATAGATATATAGATAGATAGATAGATATATATATATATAGTAGATAGATAACAGATTATACAGATAGAAAATGTTCAACTTTTTGCATTGCTGCACATAAGCTCTGCAAAATCAGGCTAAGATCGGACTTTGAGAGCCGATCTTATACAACATTTGATTTTCCCTAGTGTATAGCCTGCTTGTACGTATTTTACCGTCTAGTCGGTAACTTCCGACTAGAGCATTTGTAGCTGGTTGTAATTTGCTATCGTTGTCTTTGCAGTTCTCTCAGTTTTTGGTCGCCTGCGGCGTGCTGCGCACCTGCATCCTACACAAGGGCTTCAATGTCCTTCACTCAATTGAGCCAAATATACTCATCTCGAATTGATGGAGCTGTGCGTGGCTCCATGGAGCCCGAACCCAATCCTAGCTTAAGCTCAAACCGCATTAATTGTACTCTTTTTATAATCGTATATACATATATATATATCTAGCAATTTATGTAAATAAGCATATTGTGTGTGTATTAACCAAGTTTTATAAATCTGCATTGTACTCGATTATACTCGAATTATTTTCATATTTTGGAATACTTTGAATACTTTGAATAAGCATGTTCGTGTTTTATATTGCCTTCCCTTTCGCTTTGGTGTAAAATATGCACGAAAATTCTATGTTAACTTCGGTCCTTATACGATTTTCAAGACAATATGACAACCAAATCGAAAGGGTCTAGAAATGAAATGGGGAAAAAGGCATCCAATAAATAATTTTTTAACATTAACTTAACATTTGATTATGAATCGATTTTTTCTGCCATCAATTGAGTAACTGAAATTTAGTTAATTTTCCATTCATGTTTTCTTCCAACAATTTTCTTTAAATGTTTTTCAACATTTTTTCTCTCAATCAAATTTTCTTTTAAAATTTAGATAATCTTAACAGTATCCGTGGCTCATTTTTGCGTCGCTGTTACTGTATTTAACAGAAATTTTGTGCGTAATTACGCATTTAATTTGAACGTTTTACATTTGCGCAAAAGTGCTCCGATTTGCGTTAGCAGTGCAGCTTACGACGCTGTCAGCGTTAACAGCTCCATGTTAGCTTCACGTTGCGCAAATTACGTTTGTTTACTTGGTGGGCTCAGTTTGATGAAGTTGCTTCACACGACACGGTTAATGTTAACGTAAGAGCAATAAAAAAAAAAAATTCAAGAAAAAAAAAAGTAGAAAAGAGAAAAAGTTCTGCGCGTTGAAATCCAGGTGCGAAAATTGCAATACGCGTAACAACAATTGCGACGCAATGCATTAACTAATTGGCCACGCGTGCAGATGTCAACACACACACATATATATATATACCACTATATATATATACAACGCAGTGCCAAACGCAATGAAACAGGTGGGCGCATTTTCTGTGGGGGTGTCTGAATGTATTTTGTGAAATGGAATTTGTACGTTTTTTTTATTGTTCTTGTTGTTGTTGTTGTTGTCGTTGTTTTTGTTCGCTGATGATGTTATGTTTGCAGCGTCAACGTTTTACTTTTCTTCGTGTCTTTTTTTTTTTTGTGTTTGCAAATTGTACAATACACATGCACATGTGTATGTTAGTGTGTGTGTGTATAGGTACATGCATATGCTGATAAAAATGACAACATGCTTTGCCGTAGTGTGTGTGTGTGTGTCTGTGTGCGCAGCAGCTGCGTCGTCAACGTCAACGTCAGCGTCGCCGTCATTGCGCGCAGCATCATAAAAACTATTTAACTGACCAATGAATCACTTAAACGAAAATGATGAAGTCTTCTCTTTGTAATCTCACTCAACACACACACACACACACACACGCAAACAATGGAGGTTGTGGTGTGGTTGGGGGCCGCCACCACCAGCGCATTTGTTGTTTATGGCGCCCTCATATTGCTATCAACAGACCGACAACTGATGGCGACGGCGACAGCGCCTGCCGCTGCCGCTGCTGCTGCTGCTGCTGCTGCTGGTGCTGGTGGTTGACGCGCGCGTGCCTGCCCAACAAGTTTCTTATTGGGATGATAAATTGTGTGCGTGTGTGCGTATTTGCAAACACGATTCCAAGATGATTCCTGGGCATATGACGCAAGAGCTTGGCCATTTTTTTTTATTGCATACTTTTCTGTGTGTTAATGGGTCGAGTGTATACATACAGGCGTGTGTATGCGTGTATTGCTGTGTATTAGGGGAGAGAGTTGTTATTAATATGGCCGCCCTCGGCTAACTGTTAAGCGACTGAGCGGCTGCGGAATGGAGCACATTTAACGGCATAACTCATTTCAATTTCAATGCAAATTTTTTACTATTATGGGCGCGCGTGCTTCTTTGTATTTGGGTTGATTAAATTTTTGATGAGTGTGTGCCAGTGTGTGTGTGTGTGTGTGTGAGGACAACAAGTATCGATTCCAGGCCATGGCTTCAGGATTGCCGCTTGGCCCAAATTGCGCACTAGGCCTAGAGACAGGGCGAACGCAAATCAAAGCTCTGCTCTGCGGCAACCCTAAAGCGACGTGACGCGACGCGATGCGACGCGACGCGACGCTCACCAAAGCGACGCTGCTTTGCATAACTGCTGCCAAGCTGACCAAGTGTGTATGTATGCGTGTGCGTGTGTATGGGCATAGAGATGGGGTTAGATTCAATCCAATAAGAACACGAATATTCATATAATTTTTGTATTTCTTATTTATATTTAAATGATCAAGTGTGTATTTGGCATAGAGATGGGACAATTTTATCCAATAAGAACACGAATTATTTGTTGCATATATTACTTATATATAATATCTTATATTATTTTGCTAGCTTTTGAAGCGAATCTTGAGCTGATTCGAATTTGTAAAATATTACAAATTTCGTAAAGTCAAAATTGCCGAAAAATAGTTTTATTTTTCATTTATTTTAAATTTTCTATCTTAGAAAAACGCTATCTTTTATTTAATTTGAATTAAAATTGCCTAATTTACAATTTTTAAAAAGTTCACTCCGTAGAAATCATAAATATGTGTACATGCTATAGAAATTCTTAAAATTGTGTGCTTCGGAAATTCAAAGTTTTTGTTTCATTCGAAATATAAGCTTTCAAATTTGTAGCGTCTTTTGTATTTTAATATTTAACTAATATTTAATGACTATGACACTGACAAACTTGAGAAGTATGACGGGGTTTGAAGAATTCGCGCTTCAAGCTAAGCGGCAAATATCAATTTGGTGTCTGAGCGTCGGACTAACAAGCGAGCAGTCGCTGGTTCAAATTTATCAACAATTGTAAAACTTATGATATGCTTGTATAATTTGTTATGTGTCTGTTTGAAGTTGCAAACAATTTGCATACAATTGGATTTTAAACACTAATTTGATTAAAAATGTGAAATATACATAAGTATCGTATATTTAACATTTTAGATAGATTATTATTTGTACATATATATATATCTATGTGTATATGCTCCAAATAAGATTTCTAGACTCGTGACTCGTCACGTTTGCAAACGTTTGCGACATGCGCTCCTCTCTAGTTGGACATGTACATATACGTTCAAACTGCGCGCACATATACACACACATACACATACACACAGCAGCAGCAGCAGCAGCAGTAGCAGCAGCAGCAGCAAAAGTGTTGAGCGCAACGCGGATGTTCAGTTTAGACTTTCCTTTTGGCCAAATAGCGTGCAACGTTTCCTTCTACACAAATGTTTCGCTAACGTAAATGCTTATAACTGTTCTGCATGTGCTTGTGTCTGTCTCTGTGTGCGTGTGTGCGTGCAATAAATATGTGAACTAAAGCAACACACGCTCATATATAATTTAAACAAAATCAAAGTCTATTGCCAGTAGCTGGGCCGTGGGGGAGGGGGAGGGGCTTGTTTGCTTTTTGCTTGCTACCTCAACAGATTTGTGTGTCCCTGTGTGCGAGCGTGTGTGTGTGTGTGTGTGTGCATGGGATTCGTGTCATGTGACCGCGCGCGCAAAAAACGGTTTCACCACGATTCGCATTGTGTGCGAGCCAACGTCCTGGCAGGACACGACGGGGCGCCTCTTAGCGTAAGCATGCGCAATGCGCAGCTACTACGAGCACTCACACGCTCGCACACACGTGCGCGCACACACACACACACACACACACACGCATACACATGGCACATAAATGACGAAAACTGTGGCAAAACGTTTGCATATTGTGCCCAAAAATTGCAACAACAGCAACACAACTGTAAAAAGCGCTGCGCGCCGCGCGCTATGCAACAGTAAATGTTCTGTTATGTCTTAACGGCAAGCAAATAGCGCGCAATTGTCAACGAAAGAGAGAGAGAGAGAGCGAGAGTGATGGTGAGAGAGCAAGAGTGTGGGTGACAGACTGGGAGAGAGCGTAAGTTAAAGAGCGAACGTGCTTCATCAGGGTTGTCAGCGCTCGTGCGCTCTCACGTTGTCCTCGCGTGCGCCAAGCAAGGTGCAAAAAAAATGCCTTTACAAGCGACGCCACAAAGCTCAGCTTCAGCAGCGGCAGCAGCAGCAGCAGCAGCTCCAGTAGTCAACTAACCAGCTAACCAGCAGCATTTTGTCTCGTCTTACATATCCCCCGTGTATCCGACTTCGAATTCGACTTTGACTCCGTCTACGTTCTTTCTACTTAAAATATATTTTTTTTGTTCGCGTGTGTTTGTGTGTGTGTGTGTCTGTCGTTGTCTCGTCTATGCGTGCATGTGTGTGCGTGCGCGCGCGTGTGTGTGTGTGAGTGTGGCTTTTTCGATTGAAAAATCAATTGATACACATATTTTTTTTGTTATTAGTGCGAACAAAAAAAAAACAAAAAAATACTTACAAATATATGCCAAAGATATACCAAATGGCAAAAAGCACTAAAATACTGCGCTCAATACTAAAAACATTTCATCTTGGCTGAAAACGAAAATTAACTTGTTAAAGTTTTTTTTGCAATTGTTTTTTATTGTTAGAAAAAAAAGTAAAAAAAAAAAAGTAAAAAAAATAATAAAAACGCGCGACAAGGGCGCGGGCAAGTTGGATGTGTGCAGGCATCAGGCGCCAAAGCCAAAGCCTATATAAATAAAAAAAAAAGAGAGAGAGAAAAAGAAGAAGAAGAAATGTAGAGTAAATCCAAGTGAGTAGCAACAAGCAAGCAGCACAGAAAGACACCAACAAAAGAACAAGAACAAGAAAAAAAAACAATGAAACGTACAGCTATTTGTGTGCATGTGTGCGAAAAATCTGTAAATCGAGGTTATCTATACGTGCAGCACACATCTACATACACACACACACACACGAGAGAGCGTGAGTGAGAGAGAGAGAGAGAGAGTGGCGGAGAGTGTGGGAGCGCGTGTGTGCTCAGCCTCCCAGCGTCAAGCGCTGTTTGCACAACCAACAACAAGCGATGGCATTTTAATCATCATTAGGCAGCTTACACACACACACACACACACACACACACACACGCATACACGGAGACCAGCGGCTCGTTGTCGTCGGTCAGGCGCCGTGTGTTGTTGTTGTTGTTATTCTTCTTCTTGCTTGTGTCCAGCTTCTTTGTGTGCGTGCGTGTGTGTGCTTGTGCTCTTTTGTTTGCGCAAATTAAATTTAAAGTATGCCAGCGCGATTTGTTCCTTTCACTGTTGCGCGCTCGTGTGTCCTGGCGATGTGTGTGTGCATGTGTGTGTGTGTGTGCGATTATTCGTTTGTTTGACAAAGCGTAAACAATTGCAAATAAGAAAAGGCAGCGACGGCGACGTCGACGTCGACGTCAGCGTTGACGTGCGATGAGTGTGCGAAAAATCGATTTGTGTGCCATCCCAAAAATAAGTGCAAATACACACACACACACACACATATATATATATAGAAACATAACCCATATACCGAGCTTATATGTTGCCATAGGTCTCCCATGTGTGTGTGTGTGTGTGTGTGTGTTGTGCAACATAATGGGGCAACAGCGTTTTTCAATTATCCATCCATTTAACATTTGACTCTTGACACTGCCCACAGCCGTATTTATCGCATTTACACACACACGCACACACACACATACACTCAGTAACCTCATTACCATCCCTCATTGGCATTTCTTTATTGCCATCTCGCTCGCACTCGCTTCACACTCAGGCAGCGCTGCTCGTTTTATAGCGAGCACCTTTTTAACGGCCATTGCATTTGAACATGAAGATGACACTTGAGCGCGGCTTGTGCCAGGCGACAAAGCCGTCGTTAACGTTATTGTCCTTATCAGTTTGTTAGACGATTTAATTAATTGCCTATTTGCATTTTAATGAAACACTTTTCTGTTCATTGCCGCGATAAAAACTAAACTAATGCATCTTGTTTGTTAGCTAGTTAGGGTGACGCAGAAAACTGAAGAACTTTCAGATATAGGATTTTAAGACAAAATCTGAAAGCGCAATGCGAAGAGTACATAACTTTAAATAACTGTTATATATTATGTGGCGGTAATACCTTTTCGGGTCAAGTGAAATTTCAGTTTACTTCACAAATCAATACAGTTTTCTGCCGTTTTCTGTGGTTGCCTCTTTGAGAGTTGATACAATTTTCAATGCCTGACAATGAGCTTGTAGCTAAAGAACATGATATTCCACTTAGACAAGTGAATCTCTCGAAACGTGCGAAATAGCTCAACTTAGCGCCTTAAAATAAGTTTGTAGCTAATAAAACGATATTCCACTTAGACAAGTGAATCTCTCGAAACGTGTGAAATACCTCAACTCAACGCTTTAAAATAAGTTTGTAGCTTATAACACGATATTCCACTTTGACAAGTGAATCTCTCGAAACGCGTGAAATAGCTCAACTCAATCCGAATTCACAAACAGCATACTATTTCTCAGCCTTTCAAAATCAAGCCATAAAAACTGACAACTGTCTAAGAAAATGCAGCTTCCAACAGTCAGTCAGTCGTCAGTCAGTCAGTCGTCAGTCAATCAGTCAATCAGTTCATCAATCAGTCAATCCGTCAATCTCACTCAAATGACATCAATTTACATTTGAGCCATAAATCTGAAAGCGTGCAAACAGTTTGGGCTGAGCTATTCGAAAGTTCTGTAACTATTTGGAATAGTTACTTACGCTGCGGACAAATTGGGAAAGTGAATTTTAATGGGCCGCCCCGAAAAGTGGGCTATACATTGTGTGCGCTACCTTAATGCGCCCTAAAAACTATGCTAACGATTTTGTGAATTTTTGTGGCTTGCTTTTTGTGAGCGTTCAATTGTTTTTGCCAGTATTCCTGTGTGTGTGTGTTTGTGTGTGCGTGGGTTTTGCTATTGCATCATCAGATTGTTAGACACCATTTGTAGTCACACGTGTGTCCATGTGTGTGTGTGTGTGTGTGTGTGGTTGTGTGTGCAACCATTAGAGAGAAACATGCAACAAAAGTTTTTCAACTAATGCATTTCACATATTTTGACCCGCTCTCGCTTTGATTACAGCTCTTAATTCGACTATTGCTAACCTAGTTTCACTTCCCCAAAAACAACAAAAACAAAGCCCAACAACTAAATAAATCAAACGAGGCTGAAGCGAAACAAATTTGCAGCAAGATTTCAAAGACGTTCCCAAGTCCCGAAACTCCCAAAAACAACATATACTCGCAACAAGAAGAAGAAGAAGCAGCAGAAAAAAAACGCTGCTCCATAAAATCCATTTAAAGCATCCAATAAAATACGAGCAGCAGCGGCAGCAGCGGCGGCGGCGACGGCGGCATTAGCGGAGAGAGACTCATGTTAGAAAAATGAAAAAGTTCACATTTAAAGGAGTTCTGGATGGATTTCGACAAAGCGTACAGCCGCAAGCCATACGACAGGAGCAGGAGATACTCGAGCAATTGAAGGCCGATCATTTTACACTAAAAAAAGTAAGCGACAAATTGAATTCAATTTAAATTGAAGACTAAGCGATCCGTTACCCGAAAACCCGTGAAACCCTTGCAGACATCTATAAAACTCATTAAATTGGCAACACTTGATTGTAAATTCATGCTTGTGCGATCTGGCAGCACTGGCACACTATGTAGGCACATTAAGTTGGCTGCGCTAGAACGTTTCATAGCTGAGAGACTTTGAATGCGTTACCCAAGACAATTTTTGATCATTAGGGAAGCTTTGTGATATATTTGCTGTTTAGATATATGATATTGATATATTGTTAAAGCATATCGTATTTTATTTTGGGAATATCTGCAAAGTAGGCAAACTCTCACTTTGGCTTAGTTGGGTTGGGGGAGCTTGATAATGTTCAGATAATGCTAGGCTTCTGCAAGGGTAAGGCCAAATACATTGATTTACTGTGAATACTATATAGAACAACTGACGTCTGTTGTAGCCAGCGGATGTTTTATTTGGTAGTTGCGCTTTATTAAATCTATCATAAGACACACGCGGCTATAACAGTGCCGTTCAACAAGCAACGTCCTCAGCAAATGCCAAATTTAACCAACTCCCCTTCATTTATTTCTCTCTCTCTCTATATATATATATATATATTTGTTCTCATATATGTTCTTTACAGACCTTTCGCCATGGCTTTCCATACTCACCCACATCCTTTGCCTTCGATCCAGTACAAAAACTATTAGCGATTGGTGATAAATCTGGCTATATACGCATGTAAGTTATTGCATACTTTCAAGCAGTTTAATAGTTATTTAAGAGATCTGGCAACATGAAAACTTTATGTGCTCATTAAGTTGGCTGCGCTAGCCTTAACTCTATTAAATGGCATTGATATATTATTAAAGCGATTTGGCAAGCATTTGACTTGTTACCAAGTCAATTGGCTAGCTAAAATATTCAACTGTGCAAGCAGTCTGGCAGCTCTGAAGCATCTTTTGAGCGATCTGGCAGCATCAAGACAGTTTATGTGCTCATTAAGTTGGCTGCGCTTGATGATTTTCCTAGCTTTAACTCTCTTAAATGTCATTGATGAATTATTAAAGCGATCTGGCAAGCATTTGACTGATAACCAAAACAATCTAGCAGCATTGGATTGACTGCTGCTAGGAAATTCAACTGGCAGCTCTGAAGCATCTTTTGAGCGATCTGGCAGCACCAAGACATTTTATATGCCCATAAAGTTGGCTGCGCTCTCCAAAGCATTCAATTCGTCACTTAAGCAGCACATAAACTCTTTATGCTTATACATTACTTAAGCGATCTGGCAACGCTGCAGCGTATCAAACGCTTGTTAAGTTGGCTGCGCCTGAAATTAATTTTAACAGCATTTAAAGCTATTTTAGCATATTTCGAATATTAATTTATATATTGCTTTTTTGATAATCGTTTGTAATTGCTGTTGTTGCCCTTCTCTAGCTTGGGCCGACCTGGCGTCGATGCGCATGCCAAACACGAGGGCGAATCCGAGTGCGCTGTGCTCTTTGCCCAATTTCTGGTCAATGAGGGTGCCCTGGTCACCGTGACCGCCGACGATACCATACACTTGTGGAGCATACGCCAAAAGACGCCGCTCATTGTGCAGAGCCTCAAATTTCAGCGCGAGCGGTAATTAAATCCCAAATCAATCAATCAACTCACATAGCACTAACTATTTCTTGTTCTTCTCGTTCTTCTTCTTTGATTTGTAGCGTCACTTGCATACATTTGCCCGTCGGCAGCAAATGGCTGTACGTGGGCACCGAGAAGGGTAACATACACGTCGTTCACATAGATACATTTGCACTTAGCGGATATATTATTAACTGGAATAAAGCAATTGAAGTGTGAGTATTAACAGTACAAGTCCAACATGCTGTTAAAGCAATATTAACATTGAGTGTTGAAGACGCTGTTAAAGCAAATTTAACAGCAATATTAACAGTGAGTGTTGAACACGCTGTTAAAGCCATATTAACAGAAATTTGTGAACTATTTATTAGAAAGCAATTTCCTTCTATTAACATTTTGTACAGCATTGTACATATTACAATAGGCTTTTAACATAGGACTCTCGCATATTAACAGAACATCTAAAGTTGACATTAAAACGCATTGCTAGAGCTCTATTAATTGTACAGTTAACATATTAGCTCGTGCATAAGTTAACATAGCTTTACAGAGCGAAATGTTATCTTGTTTGTAACATAATGTAAACATTAACAGCGAATGACTGTTGCTCACAGCACAAAGTTAAAACTCTAATTTCACATAAAGTTAACAGCTGTTGTTTAGCATCACACTGTTGTGGCTCAGCTTAGCATAGTTAAAATATGACGTTAACATAAAAATGGCTGTTGCCTACAGCACCATGTTAACCTCTAAATTAACATAACAGCTGCTTAACCTTTAAGTACTTTTTGCTAACCGCCCACTTAAAATTAAAACCTAGATAAAGTTAAGTGTTAACAGACTTTTTGCCTACAGCGCACTGTTAAAGCTCAAATTTAACATACTAACAATCTAAACTTAACACTGAACGTCTATTTGTTAACAGCGCACTGTTAAGGCTCTGTTAATATGCTTGTTTTCCAGCTGTTAAGTTCAGCTTAACACAATATCTTACATGAACATGAATAACCCCTGATAACAGCACACTGTTAAAGCTAAAATTTAACATAACAGTACCTTACAGCTAACAGTAAACGACCTTTTGCTAACAGCATACTGTTAAAGCTCTAAGCTAACATAACATCCACCTATATTTAACAGTTAACGACACACTGTTAATGCAACAATCTAACATAACAGTTACACAAACTGACGTAACATCTTTTTCGCCAACAGCGCACTGTTAAGGCTCTGTAAATATATATTTTTTTTCAATATACGGCAAACATTTAGCTAGAAAAGTGTTTACAGATATATTTGAATGACATTTCTGATTGCTTTCAGGGTTAGAACTAGTCATCCAGGTGCTGTGATTGCGTTATGTGATAATCCATTGGATGCAAACAAGGTAAAGTGCTAGCGATAAAATTTCTAGATAAACATGATTTATTAATGAAACTTCAATCCCGAATGGCCAAACAGTTGCTTATTGCATTTGAGTGCGGGCTGCTTGTGCTGTGGGATCTGAAGTTGAAGGGCGCGGAGATACGATGGCAGGCAGCCGAGGCGGTTAAATCCTTGGCCTGGCATTACGAGGGCAAATATTTTGTATCCTCGCACACGGATGGCTCGATATGCTCCTGGCCGACCAAGCCGCAGCCGAAGCCCCAGTCTCAAGTTTGTCCGCACGGTAAGTAGCTGGCAATTATTCACTTTTGGCCCGATTATTGATGAGCTCTCTTTTTGATGACACAGCGAAAATCAACAAGGAGGGCAACGCCGAAAAATGTAAACCGATTTATAAAGTTGACTTGAAGTCAAGCGCAACTGGGTAAGTCGCAATCCCCGCTCTCTCCCTCCCTCTCTCCCCCTCTCTCTCTCTACCTCGTCTTTGCTTCTGTTGTATTTGTAGCGAAACCTTTACAATTTTTTCCGGTGGCATGCCATCGGAGAAGGGCTCAAAGTCAAACTGCATCACAGTCATGGTGGGCAAGACCACAACCGTTTTGGAGATGGAGCATGCCGTTTGCGATTTCATTACACTCTGCGAGAATCCCTGGCCTTGCGGTTAGTCAAAGCATATCCAAAAAAAAACTTGTCAAACTTATCGCTCGCTTCTTCTCTCTGCAGAAACCCAGGAACCGTATGCGATAGCTGTGCTGCTTCAATATGACTTAGTATTAATAGACTTATTAACGCCCGGTTTTCCATGTTTTGAATCGCCTTATCCAATGGACTTACACGAATCACCTGTTACATGTTGCACATATTTAACCGATTGCCCATCGGATTTGGTTCCTGCTTTCTATTCTGTAAGTATTCGAGCAGGTAAAAAATATCAAAGCTAGCTGCTAGCTTTGCTAACATGAGGATAAAAACTGTGCTTTTTGTTTTTTTTTTTTTTTATATTTTAGTGCGATCAAACATGAAGTTTGACATGAGGATATACAAATTGGCATTAGCTTAAAGGTTCAGTAGGAAAGCTTTTAACTTAACACTCAAATTAACTGCTGGCTAGCTAACATGAAGTTTGACATGAGAATAAAAATTGGGTTAGATTTCAGTAGGATAGTTTTTTACTGCATGTAACCTGACATAAAGTTTGACATGAGAAGAAATTTAAGATTTTATTGGGCTCGTTTTGGACAATTTAACTGCTAGTTACCTAACATGAAGCTTGACATGAGGATGAGATATGGGTTCGTATATGAGATTTCAGTACGATCGTTTTAGACTTAAGCCACAATTTAACTGCTGGTTAGCTAACATGAAGTTAAACTTGTAAAAACTTACACTCAAATCAGCTGTTAGCTAACATGAAGTTTGACATGAGGATAAGAAGTTTGTTTAGATTTAAGAAGGTTTGTTTTTCACCAAACCCACAATTTAACAGCTGGTTAGCTAAGATGAAGTTTGACATGAGGTTTGGCATGAGGTTAACAAATTGCTGATTCTTCTTTTTTAATAAGCATTACTCCATAACCTCAACAACTATTCAACAATATTTTTGCCCCTCTCTCTCTCTCTTTCTCTCTCTGCAGGTTGGTCGCACAACGACAAGTAAAAAGACGGGCTTCTCGGAACGGGAATGGCCCATTTCGGGCGGCGAATGGTCACCAGCCTCGTGCAGTTACTCGGAAATTGTCATCACTGGCCATCAGGATGGCAGCCTCAAGTTCTGGGACTCGGGCGCTGGCACACTGCAGGTCTGCCTCTATTAGGGATACGCCCATAACTAACTCGATCATATTTAATCGGTATATGAACTGTTCTTTGGCAGATTTTGTACAAACTGAAGACGGCGAAAATGTTTGAGAAGCCGCGTCATGTGAGCCACGCGGACAGCGACAATCCGCTGGCGGTGCATTTGATATTTCTATGCTCGGAGTCGCGACGCTTATGCGTTGCCGGCGCCATGGGTCAGGTAATGTTGTTCAAATTTCGCAAGGTCGAGTCCACATCGGAGGTGCTGGTGCTGGAGATACCAATACTCTATGAGAACTTTGATGACATCTATGGCACCAGTCCCGAATGCGATTTCCTCACCGGACATCAGGTGCAAAAGACCGAATCCAGCGATTCGGATAAGGTGCGTATCAACTACGATTTCCCAGTTCATATAACTCGATATATATATGCTACAGTTACAGCTAGACGAAGCCTAGACATACTAGACTTTGCTTTTACTTTGCCTAACAGTTCTCTATGTGCGTCCGATTCTTATAGAATACCTTTATGTTTGAAGAATTTAAAGGTATTGAGGTCTTCAAGAGGTGTCCGGTGTCATTCCAAGCTTTCAATCTTCGAGCTTTGCTTAACAGAATATATTGAAAGAATATTATATTTCAGACTTGCAAGTCTTTAGCTTTTGTAGTTGCGACTCAAGATATACATTATTCATATACTAGTAACACCTTTCGAAGCTTGAACTTGTTGAGAATTGCATAGAAAGGCACAGAAAAAAACAGCCAAACGATTTAATTAACTGTATGTTTTAGCCTGTAAGGCAACCAAATATGGATTTTTTCTTTATTTAATTTGTATATTTAATAATATTTATATTTAACGCATAGAATTGTGTTTATAACATAGTTAACCAATGAAATCTGTTTTATTCCCTAGACGGAGTGCACGCTTAAAGTGCGTTTTGGTGCTCAGCGCAAGCCGCCGGGCTTTCAATCCCAATTGGTTTGCCTCACAACGGGGCCGAATCGTCGCACCGTACAGGTTACCTCGTTGTGCATCAACTCTAGCTATGGCCTGTAAGTAGCATTAGCTCCAAGCCCCAAGCCATGCCCATAAACACACACACACACACCCCATTCACCCCATAAACACACCCCACACACACACCCCACACACACACACACACACGCACACACACAGAGACACGCGGACAAAAAAAAAAAGAAAAGAACATAATATTTAGTGGAGTATTCGTAGTTTGTATTCGTATATTGTGCATGACGTTCTCTGAAAGCGCCTGACTACAAAGTACTTAGAGCCTAGAGCAAAAGCTACCCTTGAACCCCCTCCTTCAATAACACGGACGCAACGCGAGCCCCGCGCACCCGCTTAACTGTGTTCATTTGTTTTTTTGCCTTGTTGTGTAGTTGCAACACTTGTCAGCTAGAGCGAGTGCAGGCTGCTACTCGCTACTCGCCACTTGTTAGCGTAAGTTCTTTTTGTTTTATTTTGCGTGCATTTTCAAGTAGTGGCAGCTGCAGCGAGTGCAAGCAAATGCTCGATGTGCGATGCTCGTTACTCGTTACTCGCTAATCGTCACTCGTTAGAGTAAGCTATTCATTTGATTTGTTTTTGCATTTAGCAACTAGTTTAAAGCTGCCAGGTGGACTAAGTAGAAGCTACTCGCTACTCGCTGAAGTACACACAGTAGTCACAAGAGCTACTCGTTACTTACTGCTAATTACTCGCGGATAGTTGTTAAAGTTGCCAGTTACAACGAGTACAAGCAGCTACTTGTTACTCGCCACTAGTTAGTGTACGTTTTTTTTTTTTGGCTGCCGCAGTTTTCGGCTAGAACGAGTACAAGCAGCTACTCGCTACTCGCTACTAGTTAAAGTCTGTTTTCCTTTGTTTTTGCGCTCTGCAATTGTAGCTAGAACGACTACAAGCAGCTACTCGTTACTCGATGCTAGCTACTCAAGAGTAATTGCAAATGCCGCCAGCTTGAACGAGTACAAACAGCTGCTCGTTACTCGCTGCTCGTTAGAGTACGTTTTGAATTTGATGTAGAGCCCTTTAAGCGTGAGTGGTAACAACAATTGCCAGCTAGAACGAGTACAAGCAGCTACTCGTTACTTGTTACTCGCCACTCGTTGCTCGCTACTCGTTACTTGTCACTCTTGTGAGAGTGCGTTTTTCCTTTGCTTTTGCGTTTTGCAATTATAGCTAAAACGAGTACAAACAGTTACTCGCTGCTCACGACTCGTTACTCGCCACTCGCCACTCGTTAGAGTTAGTTTTAGTCAAGCTTTAGACTGAATGACAAACGGACTTTAGTGCCTGCGCGTGTGTGTGCGAAATAAATATAAATATATATATAATGATTTTATTTTGATTATCAAGTTTTAGTTATCTGTTTACTCGTTAGTTTTGCGTTGTATTTATTTATTTGGTTTGGTTTTGTTGTATGCCGCTGTTTTGTTGTTGACATGATGGCGTGTTCTTTTCTTTTTCTGTTTTTAGAATGGCTTATGGTACCGAATATGGACTTGTCATAATTGATATAATCCAAAAAATTTGCCTATTGAGTGTTGCATGTCCCGATCTGTATGGCGCACACGATCCTTATTCGCGAACACCAAAAAGTCCAAAACGCATTGAGAGCAAAGAGGAGCAAAGCCGTTCGCCCAGTTCAGATCAGGTAAGTGCTGATTGATCATGATTATGATACAAGAACCAAGATTGATAACGATTGATGATGATGTTGGCACTTAAATGCTCAACGCTCATAAATGATTATTGATTATCATTGATTGATCATGATTGATGTAATGATGATGATGATGATGATGTTGATTGATCATGATTGATGATGTTAATAATGATAATGCTGTTGCCGCCTTCAATCAGTGACACGCACACTAACACACACACACACACACACACGCACACGTACACACACACACACACACGCACACACACACAGAGACACACACACACACACAGACAGACAGACACACACGCATCAAGTGTTAGACAAATACCAAATTGATTGATGAAAAATTATATAAAAAAAAACAAAAATACAACTATATTTTTGAAACCTAAACTCATTTAATTTATATATCTATACATATATATATATATATCTGCATTGATTGATTAAGATTGAAACGAGCTAATTTATTGTAGCAAACGCATTTCTTTGTTTATTCTTTAGTTAATTAAGCTATTATTATTATTATTCATAAGCCTAAAACAAAAACCTAAAAGAAACTAACAAAAAAAAAAAAAAAAAAACCCTAACCCATTTGCATTTGTCTGGCATTTTGATTGATGCAAATTTACTCACACACAAACTCGAACACACACTTCCTTTGAGTTTGCTCCCCTCATTTTTAGTACAAACACACACACACACACACTGAGACACACACACACATGCAAGCAAGCGACATACAAAATTGTAAAGCCCCTCCCAAAAACAAAAACAACAACATTTAGCTAAACATCTACGTAATTTATGCATATAAAACAGTATATAAATATATTAATATATATATATATAGTTAAACAATTTGCTAGTTAACAGAGAAAACCTAATTTTAGTAGTATTTTTAGTATTTTTTCATATAGTTCTAAATTTAATGCGTATTTTTTTTTTTTTTTTGGTTATTTTTTTTGATTAGTTCGTTTTGAAACTGCGTTAGACGCTTGGCCAGCGCCCAAAACTAGCTAAAGCTATATACATATATCCGTCTCTCTCTGTCTCTCTCTCTATCTCTCTTTCTCTATATACATATATATACATCTCTCTCTCTCTCTCTCACTCTCTCTGTCTGTCTAAATGTGCTTCCAAGCGCTTTGAGTTCTTTTTGTCACTCGACTTATTCAATTTATTTTGCTAACAGACAGTTTTAATACATAAAACAAGCAACTTTTTTCGAATTTAGTATATCTTTAGTATTTTTTGGGTATATTTTTTAGTATTATCAGTATTTTTTTGGTATTTTGTGTACTTAATAGTGCAGTCTAGTTTCAGTTGCGCAACCATTTCGGTTTTTTAAATATTTAAAAGCGCGCGCGCTCTTTCTCTCTCTCTCTCTCTGTCTCTCCTTCTCTCCATCTCTCTCTCTCTCTCCGTCTATATATGTATATCTCTGTCTCTCTTTCTTTTGAATTTAAAAACTTTACTAATTTTGCCGTAAAACTCAAAACATTTCAACGGAACACACACAAATTGTCAGCATGGTAAATCATAATTGATTGATTGATTGATTTAACAAAACAAAAAAAAACATTTAACAAGCAAAAGAAAACTAACAAGTTGACGTACATTTAATCTAACTACGTGTGTGAGCGTGTCTGTGTATTTTTATTATAAATTTTCCTTTGCACGTTGCATCGATTGATTGATTAGCATTGATTGATGATTGATGATTGATGATTGGTTTTTGATTGTTGCACACGCTGTCACAACTCACTGCTCGCATCTCGCCACGAAACATCATTGATATGCCATTTGGTTGATTGATTGATTTTGATTGTTTGTATGTTGTGAGTGTCTCTCTCTCTCTCTCACTCTCTCTTTCTGCCTCTACCTGTCTCTCTCTCTCTCTCTCTCTGTCTGTCGCTCTCTCGCTCTCTTTCTACGAGAAGCCTTAACGTACAACCAATATAAATTAACAACAACAACTAGCATTTATTTCTCCAATCTCTACTTAGTAGAAACGTTTCTTTGATTGATTGATTGATTGATTGATTGATGTGCGTGTTTAGTGTATATCTACATGTATGTGTGTGTTAGTTGTTTTTTTTTTTTTTTTCATTAATTGTGAGACCCCGGCGTTTATCACATACAATATTTTTTCTGCTATCCACCTGTACGACCCTCTACCAAATCCACCAAGATGTAACATTTCTGCCTATCCATCAAACTAACTTAAATCAAACTAAACTAAAACGTAAACCCCTAACAAAACTAAACTAAAACTTAACTAAAACATAAGCTCTACCAAAAAAACAAGTGAAACAATTCAACTATTCGTTAAATGTTATGTATAATTGCCCATTGATTGATATTGATTGATGCCAAATCTATAATATATATGTATATATCGATTCATGTTAAAGTATGCAAAATATCTCCTACAATTATGTTTAACCAGATGGATTTTCCTTAATTTCCGCCTGAGTGTGTGTGTGTGTGTGTGTGTGTGTGTGTGAGTGTGTGTGACATAACTGTTATAACTGTTATACGCCCTGCATAGGTTATATAACAGCTTAAAACATCAGTTAATTGTAGCCCTCATATACATCCCGCATTTTCTTTGACAGAAGATGACGTCGCGGAAAGCGTGAGAATATTAAAAAAAAGTCTATGTATAGCTCTGAGAATTATCTGTGTTTATCTAAGGTCTTATTATCTGACAATAAAAGCTTAGCTTAATATATAAGAAAGCTTATTCAGACTGACGAACTGATTGATCAGCAAAAGCTTAGGGCAAGCCGTAAAAGCGAGTCTAATGTGGGTACTTGAAAATGAGAAAGCGCTGGTTCTAACATGCTGGCAATTGGCCAGCAGTGTGTCTCTGAGCGTCGGACGCACTAGCGAGAAGTCGCTGGTTCAAACTGAGCGGCAAATGTCAATTTGGTGTTCAGGCCTTGGACAAACAAGCTAGAAGTCGCTGGTTCAAACTGAGCGGCAAATGTTCACTTGGGTTCGGAACGTCAAACAAGAGAAGTCGCTGGTTTCAACTCAGCTGCAAATGTCTGTATGGTGTCTGAAAGTAGGACAAACAAGCTAGAGGTCGCTGGTTCAAACTAAGTGGCAAATGTTAATTGGGATGTCTGAACGTAGGACAAACAAGCTAGAGGTCGCTGGTTCAAACTGAGCGGGATGTCTGAGCGTAGGACAAACAAGCTAGAGGTCGCTGGTTCAAACGCAGCTGAAAAGTATTCATTATCACTCGGATAAGTGAAGCCAAGGATAACCCCTAGATTCTCTACATTATCTTTTGTTCGTATTCTCACACTTTCTCCGACGTGCCGTAACATTCCGTATCCCCCTTTACGTATGTGTACAGTTTATTCAAACTCCATTTAACAAACCCATCCCCACGCCCTGCCCCACCATTTAACATGCATATATATAAGTCTAGTATATATCCCCATTTGAATACAAAGTAAATTATATATATATATATATTTATAAAATACAAAAAAAAAACACACAAAAAATATCTGCGCCTTAAAAGTAAAACAAAGCAAAGCAAAAATCGTGATGAAAGAACAACAACAGCAAAAGAAAAGGAGAAAAAGGAGAAGAAGACGAAGTTTACAAGAGAGAAGCAGCTTGCACAATTTTGAGAAATGCAATTGAGTTTTACTTGAAATAAGTCCAATTCTTTTCTCAACGATTTTACACTCGATTGCAAGTTGGCCCTAGGAATAGGAAGGATCGGCGAGTGCTTAGAGTGTGTATATATATATATATATGCCTGATCGAGAGGACGAGGAGAGAAGTTAAGCCTTACCTAAGCATAACTCGAGAACTATGAGAGCTTCTTTCATGAAATTTGGGAGGTAGGTTTTCGTATAGCTTAGCAATGTTTTCCTATATGAATGCCTGTTCCTGATATTTATAGAAGCTAGTTCTCGTAGAGCTAACAGTTTAGGAATGTTTGCCCTATTTGTATAGCTGCTCCCGACAATTGGAAGAGCTAGTTCTACGAAACTTGGGCTATAGATTCGCTTAGAGCATACACAGATTAGGCATATTTCCCTATTCGACTACCTACTCTAGCATAAGAGATAGTTCCATAAAACTTGGACTGTAGTTGAGGAATGTTTTCCCATATGTATAGATGCTTTCGATAGTCCTACGAAACTTCGGATATAGGTGCTCGTAGAGCAAACACACAGTTTAGGAATATTTCCCTATTTGTATACCTTGCGACAAGTATAAGAGTTAGCTCTGCGAAACTTGGGATATTGCTTCTCGTAGTACCAACATAGCTTTGGCATGTATCCTTATATTTGTAGATACCAGGTCCCGATTATTGGAGTAGAAGTTTCGTAGAACCAACTTGGGGTATAGGTTCTCGTAGAGCACAGCTTAGGAATGTTTTCCTATGTAGGATACCAGCTCCCGATAATTGCAAGAGCTTGTTCTACGAAACTTTGGATGCGGGATCTCGTAGATTAGAAATATTTTCCTATTTGTATACCTTCCGACAACTATAAGAAGTAGTTCTACGAAACTTTGGATGTGGGATCTCGTAGATTAGAAATGTTTTCCTATTTGTATACCTTCCGACAACTATAAGAAGTAGTTCTACGAAACTTTGGATGTGGGATCTCGTAGATTAGAAATATTTTCCTATTTGTATACCTTCCGACAACTATAAGAATTAGTTCTACGAAACTTTGGATGTGGGATCTCGTAGATTAGAAATGTTTTCCTATTTGGATACCAGCTCCTGTCAATTGGCAGAGCTTGACTCACGAATCTTGGGATCTAGATTCTCGTCGGGAATAATTACCTATTTGTCTACCTGCTTCCGTAACCCCACCCCTCCCCAGATATTCGAAGAAACACGCTTTCCAAGCTAGATTCTAACGCTTTCGCACTCTCACGCGAAGAAATCTTCAAGAATTGCACAAAATACCAAATACTCCGAATTTGAAAGCTTACCAAATTTCGGACTAAAAATTCATGTCAAAGCGTTTCTGAAATATTTTCAACATATGCTGTTTCTGTTTCTGTTTTTTGAGTATAGAAAAGCGAAAATGAGAAATTTACGAAGTTTTACTCAGTCGCAAGTGAGTTTCTCATGGAAAATAAACCGGAACCGGAAGATTCAAGAAGATTTAAATTCTCTCTCTCTCTCACATAATTTTTGCACTCATTTTGCTGCTGCTGCTGCTTCTTCTTCTTTGCCCAGTTCACAGCTGCGCTTGTTGTCCCGCTCTCTCTCTCTCTCTCTCCCTCTCTCTCTTCACGATTTTTGCTTGGCGCACGCCTCATTCTTTTTTACGGTTATGTCGTCTGCCCCTGTCGAAAAGCGAACCTAACTGTTAATTTCGGAATAATGTGTTTATTAAAATATATGCGGCGACACGCCCACAACTTATTCTCCCTTCCTTCCCCCTCTGTGGCAACCCGCGCGTTCGACGCATATCTACCTACATATATATATATATATATATATATATATATATATATGTATACAATATATAGCTGAACGATACGACCAGCCCGGACAGTCCGTCGATTGAGTTCATACCGGAGGCGAATGAGGCGACATTGACGGCGTCGACGTCGGCATATGTTACGGCGGCGACGGCGGCGGCAGCGGCAGCGACGCCGTCAGCGGCTGAGGCTGTGCAGGGCGTATCAAGGCCCACATCGCCAGTGGGCGTGGCCGATGTTATTAACAGCACCAAAGAGTCGCTGATGGGCAGCGCCAGCGCAGCGACAGCAACAGCGCTGGCAGCGGCCAAGAGCCCGCAGCGCGACGAGGCGGCAGCGACGTCGGCGCCAAAAGAGCTGCAAGATCGCCGCAAGTCCATGTCATGGAAAACGTTCAATTTGAAGCGTCAATTATCAAAAGTCAATATGAAAATCGGCAGCAGCCTCAATGTCAATACCGAGCTGGACGCGATCCGCAACAGCTCGGCCATATTCTATACGCCCAAGGAGAGCTCGCCGGAGGCAGCGACGGCCGAGGAAATTGCCGCCGAGGCGCTCGAATGCCGCGAAGAGGATGTCGGCCTTGCGACGGCCACAGCAATGCTCAATTGTGATACGGTCGAGACGCCAGCGACGGCAGCGACGTCGACTGCAATGACGACGGCGACGCCGAAGCGCGTCGATTTTGAAGAGCCGCCGGAGAGCGGCGAGCGGCCAAACAATCTGCCGCTCAGCGAGACACAGCAGGGACAACTGGGACAGGGACAGCCGCCATTAAAGCCGACGCGTCAAAAGTTCAAAGAGAAGTCGCGCGATCAGCGGCTGCTCTCTGTGCCGAATATTAAGTATCAGCCGAGAGAGCAGCGCTCGGGCGCCATTGGCATTGCAGCTGGCGTTGGGCGGGCCAATAAGAACGATGTGTCGCCTCTCATGAGCGGCAGTCTAACCAAAAAGATACGTAAGTATGCGTGTGTCAAAGAATTTTAAGCAAAAAAAAAAAAAAAAAAACCCACCCAAAACCACCTAACCCAGCAAGCCCCCAACCCCCCAACCCACAAACCTGGCCATTGCTGCAGTCAGTACGTTAAGCAAGCGAGAGCGTAAAGGCGTGCAAATATGTTTATCTCACTCCCACCCGCACAGAGAGCGTGAGCGTGAGCGTGTGAGCGAAAAAGACAAAGACACAACAACCAAAAACGAAAACAAAAAAAAAACAGGCTCCGAATTGTAGTTGTAGCAGTTGCAGTTAGTGAGAGCGAGCCCGAGAGAGCCGAAAATCGACACACACACACACACACGCACACAGTCAGACAGACAGAAATACACAGGCAAGCGCTGCTGCTGCGCTGCTGCTGCGCTGCTGCTGCAAACTCCAAATTGTAGTTGTAGCAGTTGCAGTTAGTGAGAGCGATCGTGAGAGAGCCGAAAATCAAAAACACACACAGACAGACACAAATACACAGGCAAGCGCTGCTGCTGCTGATTTACCATGTTGCCAACATTGCGGTGCATTGTTTATGTGTGTGTGTGTGTGTGTGTGCGTATTAGGATGTGCCCAGTTAAGCAACACACAAGCGACCCCCCCCCCTCCCCCCCTCCCTTTGCAATCCCTTCTGCAACGTTGCTCTTTAGCTGCTGCTCTCTTTGTGGCTGGCGCGCATTCTCTTTGCTAAAAGCTTTTGTATGTTTCGTATGCAAGCTGTAGATTTTTATTGTAGTTATGCAAGTGGAGCCCCCCCCGCCCCACCGAACCCGGCCCCGCCCCTCCCCCGGCAAGCGACCTCTTGTGAAAACAAAATTTAGAGAGCGTGTGTATTAACTGTAAATGAACAAAATGGTTCGTTAAGTTGGGGCTGCTTCAAAAATTATTTTGATTTATCGAATTGCATTTTGTATAGTGACAAAATTTTCGTAGAGTTTCTTTTGGTTTCACTAGCTACAACAACAACAAATGTTATATTTAATGATAATAATACGAATATTAATAGTAATATAATAACAACAAATCGTTTGTGCACCAATCAACAACAACAACAACAACAACAGCAACAATAACAGCAACAGCAACAACAATGCATATCAAATTCTTATCTATGCTTCTTTCTCCTGAAACTAGGCAACGGATGCAGAAGAGCTGCAATATAACTGCCTTTATGTGATTGTATGGAAGTTCTTTGGTAATTCATTCTAACAACAACAACAACAACTACAACACACACACACACACACACACACACACACACATGCACACACACTCACACACACATGCACAACTCACGCACACAAACAATACTAGTAAGCAGCAGAGCAAGAAGAAGAGGAGAAGATGTTTGTGAAGCAGAGGCAGAATTAGCACAATCACAATACATGCTCACATATCTACACATACATACGCATATATCTATGTATGTGTACATATAGGCATATACATATATATGTATATGTATGCAATACTTAGCTCAGTAGTGTGAAGCCCCTCGGTAACCATAAGGCCCACCCCCAACCCCCCTACCTCCGACCATGCGACGTCTTACAAAATGGCGGCAAAAAATAATATGAAAATCAAGAAAAAAAAAAAAAGAAAAACACGAAAATGTTATATAAAAAAAAAAAACAGTCTTTTTCTCTAATACTATCTCTCTCTCTGTCTCTCTCTCTCTCACTCTCTCTCTCTCTATCTCTCTCTCTCTCTGTCTGTCTCTATCTGTCTCTTGATATCTATACATATATGTATATGTATGTGTGTATATACATAACTACCATAAATATAAATATAGTACGCATAACTGTTGTAACCAAAAAAGAAAATTTAAAAAAAAAATACCACAAAAAATACCAAACCACACAAAACCACCTAAATATATACTAATTCACCCAAAAAGAAATCCCTCAATCGTACTCTGTGTATGCACTGTGCAAAATATATATAAAAATACCAAAAATACCAAAAAAAAAAAAGAAAACATTACATATATTTATATACTAAATGGGTTGTTTTTGACTGTTGTACGTAACACGTTTGTTTGTGTAAGCTCCATGTTGCATCATAGCTCATAAGAAACGAAACTCATCCACGTCAATATCATGAATATGAATTCCAACTTTTAACACTAAGTACGCCCCATTTCGCGTGGACTCAACGTTCCGTCGGCCAGCCTGATACACCAAACTGCCAATTATGATTCAAATGTGTACTGAATCATCTTTCGATAACTATGTATCGATAACGATATCACTTATCGATAGATATACATATGTATGTGTATGTATGTGTCTTGTTTGTTTGGGTTCACTCCATGTATATCACATGTCTGTCTGAGGAGCAACTTGTTGTAACAGCAAAAGCACAGCGCTGTTATCGATAACTATCGAGCTTGTTATCGGACGCTTATCATTGTGTTCAAGCTTTACAATTATTTCAGTTCGTTTGTTTTCAGTTTTGGCTTTTTACGCTTATGATTTTGTTATCGATAAAACGCTTGCAACGCATAAATACCGTTGCTTTTTTTCTTTTGCCTACACAACACTGTAAAATAATACAACAACATGATGAAACACACAACTATACGTAAGCCTTATAATACCGTCACCCACATACATATATGTATTATACATGTTCGATAAATATCGATATAATTTTTGCTTTGTCTTAACGTAACACACACACACACACACACACATATACACATACTCTAACGCTTCTCTATATAAGCTGTTCAAATTTTTCCTATTGCTTACTTAACCACATATCTACATATGTTTATGTATTTAACTATTTGTACTATTTAATTAACTCGTTATCGTTCAGATCGTTCCGCGTGCTTTATGTCTCATATATATATGTCTTTATATATAGATTTATATATTTTGTTCCGTCCCTCGACAGTCGCCATTGCTGTGTTTTCTCTCTCTCTCTCTCTCTGTCTCTCTCTCACTCACCCTCGTCTGTGTTGTGATTTGTTGTTTCATCTTTGTTCATTTGCACCCACGAGAGATTAACCAACACTCTGAACTGCGTTATATATCACACTCATTTACCAACACTGTTCACTGCAGCAAACGCTTTTCATACACACACACACACATGCGCGCGGTTTATTGTTTGCCTGGCACAATGCGAACTCCGGGCAGCGGGCATTACTGTTAATTGTTAACTACTCTCTCTCTCTCTGTCTATCTCTCTCTCACTCACACACGCACACATCTAAACCCAACGAAGCTGACGCTTGCACACGCACATATTCATGTTATGCATTCGTTAAGTTTTATCGTTGTTTCATGCGCCAACGGCCACCCCGCCTCCCTCACTCCACGCACACGTTCCCATCACTAACCGAAAAAGTATGCTATACACATACACACACACACACATGCACAGACACACACAGACACACACAAACATGCACACGTGCTCGCACAAGAACAAGAACAAGAAGAAGAACAACAATTGATTTGTTGCTCCATTCAATCATTTAGTGCATTTATCTCTCTCTTTCTCTCCTTCTCTCTGTGTGTATCTCTCTCTCTCTCGTCTCCCTTATTATTGTTTATTTACAATTGACCAGATCAACGGCGGAGCCAGCGGCGCCAATGCGAATGCTAATGCGAGCGCAAATGCAGCGCAGCAGCAGCAGCAGCAGCTACAACAGCAGCAGCAACAGCAGCAGCAGCAGCTACAACAACAACAACAACAACAGCAGCAGCAGCAGCAGCAGCAGTTACAACAACAACAACAGCAGCAGTTACAACAACAACAGCAACAGCAGCAGCAGACAATGGGCGATCCTCTGTCCGCGTTGACGTCGTCGTCAGCAAATGCAGCGGCAGCGACGTCGACGTCGGCGTCCGGCGTTTATGGTGCGGACGATGCAGGTGCGGGTGTTGCTAGTAGCGGTGTTGGTGTTGGTGGTATTGGTAGTATTGGTGGCCTATCAGGTGCGGGCAGCGGCAGCGGCGGCGGCGGCGGCAGTGGCAGCGGTGGCGGTGGCGTCGGCAGCGGCAGCGGCGTTGATCAGCTGCAGCAATTGATGGCTTCCTTTGATGCCGAAACTGGCGAGGCAGTTGCAGCTGCGCAACAACAACAACAGCAACAACAACAACAACAACAACAACAACAACAATATCAGCATACGCATCCGCTTCTGCATCAAACATCTGTTATACAGCAACAACAGTCGGTGACATCGTACGAGTCCCTAAAAAAGTCCAAATCACAAGGTGGGAGCACAACAGAGCACCAACAACAACAACAACAACAACAACTACTACAACAACAACAACAGCAAAAACAACAAACAGCAACAAAATGAAAAAATTTGCACCACAACAACAAGCATTGCTCTCACTCTCTCTCTGTCTCTCTCTCTCTCTCTCTGTGTGTGTGCTACAGTGTTGTATAACACATATTATGACACTCACTTCACACGCACATGCACACACACACACACACGCACACATACACCTAAACACGCTCAGCAGCACGTTGCCTGTGGTTTGCCTCTACTCTCTCTCTGTCTCTCTCACACACGCTCTCTCTGTGTCTGTATCTCACTCTGTCTCTCTCTCTCTGTCTCTGTCACACACACTCCGCTCAAGCGGCCGCAGCGGCCATTTTGAAAGTTCGTTTTTGGTTTTTGTTTTTGATTTTGATTTCTTCTTCTTCTATTTTCTTGTCTAATTTTTGAGGAGGGGCTGGTGGGGGCAGGTTGCGTAGGATTGTTGCGTTTTGTCGCCCACATTTCGTCACCTTTTTTCGCTCACAACAACAAAAATCAAAAAAAAAAAAACAAAAAAAATCAATTTTAATAAAATATATACTTCAACGACTTTGTCTGACTCGCTCGCTCGCTCGCTCCACACTCTACCGCTCGTTCGCTCGTTCGCTCGCTCGCTCTCTCTCGCTCGCTCTCTCTCTTTCTCTCTCTCTCTCTTTCGCTCTCTCTTCCTCTCTCTCTCTCTCTCTCTCTCATTTACTCTCTTTACTCTCGCTCTGACTTACACTTAATATGTTTATGTATTTGTTCACATACTCACTCTGTCTCGCTCGCTCGCTCGCTCTCTCGCTCTCTCGCTCGCTCTCGGTATTTGTGCACGCTTCCAATTAGCAACTAATAAGAACAGCAACAACTGCAACAGCAACAACTAACCAACTGCAACAACAAAAGCTCAGCAAGTTCTGCATTGGCAAAGTATTTTTGCATAGTTCACACACACACACACACGCACACGCACACGCATAAACGAATGTATTGGCACACACACACGCACACACACACACACACACAATTGTATTTTCATTGAGGACCTTCTGTGATTGGCCCAAAAACTAGACGAGTGTGCGGCTCACTCACGCACACACGCACACGCACACACACACACACGCATACACACACACACACACACACACACACACACACACACACATACACCTACATAGAACAACAACAAGAACAACAACAAGAACAACAATTTAGCAGCCTAGCGAAAATAGTGCAGCAAAAACAAAAAAAAAAAAAACAAATGAAAATAAAAATCGACAAAAAAATAATAATAATTATTAAGCAAAAGTTATGCCTACTACCGCCCGCCGCTTTTACTCTCTCTCTCTCTGTCTCTCTTTCCTACTCCTCTCACTCTCTCTCTCTCTCTCTCTCTCTCTCTCTCTCTCTATGTCTCTCACTCTTTCCAAATTCCGTATATCAATTGTATTGTGTAATCTCGTTTGCCACTCTCTTTGCTGTACCGATATTTATCTATTTATCGATATTTACCTTTGCCTATGAACGTTTCTTATCGAATTAATCGTTTCTTGTTTCCCGTTCAAAAAAAAACACACACACAAAAAATACTGACTTACAGATAAATTGGATGGAACCTTCTCGAGATCCAGATCGTCATCAATGTCCAGCATTGATATGTCTTCCTCTGAATCTGTTACATGTTTGGCTTTTATCGAGAGCTATGCAAAACGCAATGGTAAGTTGCCCGACATTCGAATTCCCCCTAATTCCTCATTTACTTTCGATTCATTCAAGACGGACAACTATTGGCCGCGCAAAGCCGGGTAATAGTATGACGTCCACAAATATATCAAATTTTCATAGCATACTTTTTAGGGCTTATGAAAGTTTCAACATGTCCGCACATTGTGCTACTGGGCTAGCGGAAAAGTATGCTATAGACAGAAAGATATCGATATTATGCGATAAATTTATCGATAAGTATCGATCAATTGCAGTAGAGCTCAATTTTGCTTTAACTTTCTTAGCAAAAGTCAATCAAATTAAAGAAACAAAAACAAATTTAAGAGAGTTATCGATTAAAAGCGATACATTTATCGTTGTATATCGATTAATAATGAAAGTGCAGAGTTTTTCCTTCAATCAAATTTAACGAACAAAACAATTTTGACAAAGTTATCGATCGAAAGCGAACCATTTATCGATAAATATTGATCAGTTATGATAGTGCTCAAGCCAAAATCAATCAAAATAAACGCCAATTTGAGAAAGTTATCGATCGAAAGCAATCAATTTATCGATAATTATCGATCAGTAATGAAATTGCGGAGCTTTTCTTTTCCCTAACAAAAATCAATATCAGATGGTGTAATCGATAAATTTATCGATATACCCAGGCAGTCGTTTCGATAGATATATATATTACTCGATATATGTAGCTAGAGACATGACAATTTATATGTATATATTTGCATTTCTTCAGATATTTTGACGCTTGTTCCTACTTTATGGATTGGAACTAGTTTCGGTTCAATATTGACATTGTTTATCACAATGCCGGAGCGCGATGTGCGCAAATCTCAGCCAGTTTTGGTTACAATAAACGGTAAACTCTAACGAACATATGTATATACATATATATATATATATCTATCTATATGTGAAATGTATTATTTTGGTGCAGGCGGACCCGTGGTACGACTCAAAGGCTCCATTACTTCCATGTCTTTTTTAGACTCCTACGGCTCGATCATACCCTACACATTTGAGCCTTGGCGCGACGAGAACAGGGACAAGAAAGATCGTAACTATATATATATATATACATAATTTCAGTCAAATCGGAACAATCTGATACATATATATATTCTCTTGCAGGCACGCCCACTAAGAGCAGCAGCCGCACCAGCCCCACATTTACGCCAACAACTGCCAATACAATATCAAATGCTTCCGCTGCTGGCAGCGCAGCGGCTGCGGGCAGCTTGGGCGGCGGCAGCGTCGGCAGCGGCGGCGGCGGCGCAGCTGCAGCTGGCAGCGCTGCTGCTGCTGTTGTTGGCGGTGGAGCGCCATCTGGCGGCGGTGCGCCTGGCATTGCGCCCGGTGGCAGCGGCAGCGCTGCGCCCAGCGGCATTGGCGGCGGCGTCGGCAGCGGCAGCGGCAGCGTCGTCGTCGGCGGCGGCGGCGGCGGCGGCATCAGCAGCAGCAGCGCCAGCAGCAGCGGCATCAGCGGCAGCGTCAGCACCGGCCTGGAAACACTCACCGATCGACAATATATCGTAATCGCTAGCGAAAAGCAAACAAAAGTCTTCGATGTGGCAAATCAATGCTGCATCAATCGCATACAATTATCGGAAATGGATTTTGCAGTCAAGGCAGAAACTATCACGATGAAAGGTGAGCGAGAGCGAGAGAGAGAGAAAATACTGTATATAGCCTGGCAATCGTTATCGTTATCGTTATCGTTATCGAAGCCAGCCCCCAAACTGTAGCTGTGCTTCGCATAACTCGGTTGTCTTCGGTTCGTTTCCCTTGAAATGTTCAGGGATTATATATGGCACACATATAGTTGCATATACCAAAGCACAAGGCTCTAGCTGTAAAAGCGGGGTTTTCTTTAGTTTCTAGCCAAAAGTTCTAGTATTCCTATGATTTAAATGTTCAAAGAGTATCTATGTAGAAAGTTTTATGTATTTAATCCGTATAGTTCTCGAGTTATGCTAGAAAAAACCGCAAATTCATATTTGCGGAACTTTCAAAAATGTGAAGATATCGTTAAAGATGAAATGTAAATTTGTTCAGATTGCTCTAGAGGCCTATTTTCAATATAATAATACTATAGCATATAGCTACTATAGGAACTGTCTTGCTATATGCTAGATACTATATGCTAGATACCAGATACTAGATACTAGATACTAGATGCTAGATACTAGATACTAGATACTAGATACTAGATACTAGATACTAGATACTAGATACTAGATACTAGATACTAGATACTAGATACTAGATACTAGATACTAGATACTAGATACTAGATACTAGATACTAGATACTAGATACTAGATACTAGATACTAGATACTAGATACTAGATACTAGATACTAGATACTAGATACTAGATACTAGATACTAGATACTAGATACTAGATACTAGATACTAGATACTAGATACTAGATACTAGATACTAGATACTAGATACTAGATACTAGATACTAGATACTAGATACTAGATACTAGATACTAGATACTAGATACTAGATACTAGATACTAGATACTAGATACTAGATACTAGATACTAGATACTAGATACTAGATACTAGATACTAGATACTAGATACTAGATACTAGATACTAGATACTAGATACTAGATACTAGATACTAGATACTAGATACTAGATACTAGATACTAGATACTAGATACTAGATACTAGATACCAGATACTAGATACTAGATACTATATACTATATCATTATATGTGCAACTCTTGGACTCCTTTTAAGCAACTGCCAGGCTATATACACGTATTGGGATCATGAAATTGTTTCTAGCTTAGGTTAACTAATGTTGAATTTGTTGCTAATCCTTGTCGCTTACAGATGGCACTTGCTTAGCAACCTATCTTTCGAATGGCCATCTAATGGTACATAGTCTTCCTAGTCTCAAACTGTTGTTGGATACTGATTTCTTACCGCTAATGGAGTTAAGGTGCGCCCCACAACTATAACTACTAAAATTAAGCTTAACTGAATTGAAATTGTATTCTTTTTTTTGTTGTTGGCAGTTTTCAAACCAAATGTAAACAGGGAATTGTGGATCCAATGCTATCGATATGGGGTCAACAGATCATTGTTCATGAAGATACAACTCAGTAAGGCTGACAAACTCAATTTGGCTAGCCTTGAATTTGATATAAACTCTATTTTTTTTTGCTATTTTCGATCTTGCAGAATATCAAAAATATTTTGCTTTAGTCATAAAGGTCATGGATTGTACATGGCATCGCCCACCGAAATTCAGAAATTCACGATATCATCGGAATTTTGGTAAGCCCCATTCCTCCCAAAATCTATTAGCACTCTATATATATGATTAATCAATTTGTGTGCTCGCTGTAGTCAATTTATATTGGAGATGATGGGCGAGTTATACACGGTACACGAGATGCCCGAACAGCCGAAGGAGGGTTTCTTTAAGGGTCTATTTGGCGGCGGCGCCAAGCAATTGGATCGCGAGGAGTTGTGTAAGTTGTTCTACCAATTATCTATGTTAGTTTCCTAAATACCCTGTAATTTGTTAGTTGGTGAACAGAGCGGTAAAGCGAATCGTTCGGTTGCTAGGCATATACCCGGCACAAATATGGATCAGATGGGACAACGGGCCTCGACGGCCGCATCCGAAATAAGCCGGGCCCATCAGCTGGCAATGGAGCGGGGCGAGAAATTGAATATGTTGGAGGAGCGCGCCGAGCGTATGTCGAATACGGCTCAAGATTTTAGCGGTACAGCGCATCAATTAATGCTTAAATATAAAGACAAAAAGTGGTATCAGTTGTAAAATATCTATTTTAGGAGCCAATTCTACCACAGTTATTGTAATATTGCTTTTATAACACTTTCTACTACATTACGAGTAAAGTACACTTATTTAATTTCTGTTTTCAAGTCGTCACGTTATTTACAAAAACAACCAAAAACAAACAAAAAACAACAAAAAACCAAATAATAAAACAAAACAAAACAAAACAAAAAGAAAAACGGTTTTAATAAAAATATATAGACCAAAAAAAAAACAACAACAACAACAACAATTGGGCAACTTTTGCCAGAGGCTGCTTTGTCTTTCCTTTCAGTTCTGTTACAAACGAAGCATAAATACTTATTTGACGCTAATAAAGAAAAGGAATCGAAATATATATATATAGGGCCTGAGATAGAGGTCCTTTTATGCCAGGGACAACATCGAACGTTCCAGCTCTGGTTGCCGTTTATTTGGTACGTAACCCAACACTGTCCTACACGAAAAACAGACGCGTAACCTCTCACCCTTGTCCCATAACAAAAAAAAAAGAAACCCATCTTGAATAACTTGGCTTCTCGTAGTCGGTTCTGTTTGAAACTTTCAGCGCTTAAATATGGCATACTTAAGAGCTTATATACCCAGGCGCAAGGCGCTAGCTTTAAAAGTACTCGTTTTTATTTGTTTTGCAATGAGAGCCAAGCAAAAATTGAAATATTCTTGATCTAAGTACAGTCGCACAGCCCAAACTTGGTATCTCTAGCTTTTATAGCCGAAATATGCTCGAAATATCGAATTTCAATATTAGAACATGATCGATTTTTCGAGAGCAATAACAAATTTTATTTCCTACAAAATATTTTAGCACTTTATAGTCCATCAGATGAATGTGTTTACGTAGAAGAATGCAATCTAACCTCAAAGTTAAAGCAATAATATGTTTGTAGGTTATATTAACGGAATTGCCACTCTCTAACCTCAAAATTCAGGCTTTAAAATATAGGTCATATTTGTAGCTTCTTCTTATGTGAAGGAAATTAGCTCTGCACTAGCAAAAATTACGGATCTTAAACAAAACCATAGCTTTTGGTGGAAACTAAGATTTTCATAGCAAATTTCTGTTTTCTAGCTTTTGTATTCCATATGGATACGACTTGATATAAAGTCCGAGTGTTCAGGAAATTACCAAAATAAAGTAATATATTATATATTATATTGATATTTTCTTCTTAAATGCTGCAAAACAATAGAAATCAATATATTCCCAGGGTTTTCAGATATTTAAAGCCTTGTTTAGTTATTCTTTTATTTATATTTTTTTTTTTGGTGCTGCCACCTGTTCATATTTGTGCCAATATCAGACTCAAAAGCAGGCAAGCATAAGACGGGCGTGCCCTAAAAAAAAATACAATAATATTAGTATAGACAAAACACGCACATGCTCATCTTAATTTATTTGCATTATATTGATTTGTTTTGCTTAACGCAGTTGGGCAACATTTCCTGCACCGAATTGGGCGGCGTTATGCAACACTGCTGCGGCAGAGCCATGGCTACGGCTAGTGCCTGTGCCATTGCTTATCGATTGTACAATCGATAGTCGTGCGTGCGTGTGTATCGCTGGCTGTCAGCACTAGCAAAAGCATTTTTGCTGGAGTCTAACCATTTTATTTTAGTTAATAAAATACACATATTTCCTCTTTTTTTTCCGTTGTGCGCGTACGTAAAGTGCAAAAAGACGTTAACGCCACAGTTGCGAGTGCATTAACGGGGCCAACTCGCAGTCACAGACGCAGATTTCCTCACAAATTTCACACACGCATACATATATATATCAAAAAAAAAAAAAAAAAAAAATTTTTCTCCTTTTTTTTTTTTGTCATTCGTTTTGGGCCCCCCAACGTACAATAGTAAAAAGCCAACCTTGAGAAACAACCAGCACAGCAGTTTCAAACTGCTCGCAAACGTTTCGTGGTAAGATTTGATGCAAAACAGCAAACATTTCAATACAAATTGTGTAAAAAAAAAAACATACAAAAAAAAAACAAATCGCAACATGCGTGCAAATGCGGGCCAACGTTTGACTAATTTTTTCTTTTGTGTCTCAAAAAAAAAAAAAAAGACGATGAAAAAAACATGTAAGGTGCAGTAGTAGCAACTGCTTGCAGCTGTGTGCGTGCTCGTGTATGTGTGTGTGTGTATGTATGTATCAATGCTAAAGTGTTGGTGCTGCTGCGTTTGCATATGTGTGCGTGTGTGTAATGTGCATTCCAACGGGGTAAAAGAAGCGGAGCATGTAGTTGTACCTGTCATGGTAGTTGTGTGTGTGTGTGTGTGCGTGTGTGTGTCTCGTTGTCGCAGTTGTTTATCGTTTTATCAGCGGCTATGTTTATATAGAAATCGACCATTGTGAAAATAAATAATCGATCACAGTCTGTTTATGTCTTCTGCTGTGTGGCCACCTGACACTGCCCCGCACTGCACCAGGCAATAGTTGTTTTTGTCCAACACGCACACACACACACACAGACAGACACACACATGCACATGCACATGCACGCACTCAATATATCGACTATCGATTCGAAATGTTAATTTCGTTATGGAAAATGCGCAATATTAGCAGACAATTTTGTTGAAAACGAAGCGCAGGCCAAAGCATAAATGCCAAAGAGAGTGTTGGCTAACGTAAACCATAACAAAACAATATGCCAAAGCGTGTCTGTGTGTGTGTGTCTGTGTGTGTGCAACAAAACGAAATAAAAATAAAACAAAAAAAAAATAACAAGGCGACAGCTCAAAAAGAAAGTGTTTTTTTCTGCACAAAGTTGGCGCCAATAAACCAACATAAAATTAATATAAAAAAAATACAAGTTTTTATTTTGATTATTTCTTCATTTTCCCTTCTTTTTTTTGTTTAATTTTTGACAGATCTCGTCCAAGAAGTTGATACATAAAAAACAGTTTGTATATTGTTTTTGTCGCCCAATTAACCGAACGCGCGGCGTAGCCATTATCCCAACAACATGGACAAGATGCGGCTGATGAAGGAACATCGTTCCGAGATAATAATTGGCGGCAAATATCGGGTGATACGCAAGATCGGTAAGCGCAGACATATATATATACACACACACACACACATATATATATATATATGTGTGTTTACAATTTGTTTTCACGTTGAATCATTCACAGAACATATGACAATTGTGTTTGTGCGTCTGCTTTTCGAAAAAGAACAAAAACAACAACAACAACAGATCCCAGAAAGTCTATATATATAGAAGTATATATATGTATTCGAGTTTCAAGTCCAGACTGTCCGTTTCCATGCCAAGGCATCTTTGTAATGGAAGGAACGTGCCTCCATAGATATCCTCGAACAGCGGGCATTGCCCGGCCTTGCCCGTGCTAGGAATTTTAGATATTAGATTGCATCTTGAGCCCTTCTTTGGGAATAGGGCATTGCTAGTCTGGCGTTGAGAATCTCGAAGAATCTTTTGCTTCATAAACCCTTGATCCGCATGAGATAGAAATCAATTCGCGTAAAGTATCTCTCGAACAAAATAGTTTCATACAAATGTTTTTTTTTTTTTTTTGCGATTTTTCCACTCACGCGTTTGGAATATGCCCGAAAGCTCGAATAAGCGTGAATTTACATCACATAAACTGAAAATGTCGGCATCGAAGCTCTTACGGTTTGTGCTGTGCGTTGATAACCCATCAGTCAGTCAATCAGGCACTCCATCAGTCAGTCAATCATTCCATTAGTGAGTCGCATCTGTCAGTCAGTCAAACTATCAGTCTGTCCATCAGTCAATTAGTGAGTCGAAGCTGTCAGTAAGTCCATCAGTCAGTCAGTGACTGAGTTCAATCAGTGATTGAGTCAATCAATCAGTCAGTCAATCAGTCGGTCGGTCATCCACAGAGAGAGGAAGAATTTGTATAATATTTTGACTTAACATCTAATATTTGCGGTTAGTGATGTACGTAGTCAGTCAGTCAATCAGGCATTCCATCAGTCAGTCAATCATTCCATTAGTGAGTCGCATCTGTCAGTCAGTCAATCTATCAGTCTGTCAGTGACTGAGTTCAATCAGTGATTGAGTCAATCAATCAGTCAGTCAGTCAGTCATCCACAGAGAGAGGAAGAATTTACATAATATTTTGACTTAACAACTTAAATTTACGCTTTGTGATGTACTCAGTCAGTCAGTCCATCAGGCAGTTCATCAGTCAGTCAATCAATGAGTCCATCAGTCAATAGTTTTGTATATAGAAACAAAAACAGCTTGCGGATGGATCATGCGCCTTCAGTTTCGCTAAGATCTGTAAATATGGATTTTAAGACGGATTTCTCAAAAATTATAGATCGTGTATATAAAATCCGAAGAGAATATGCAGGATATCTCGCAGTCTGTCACCCACGGACTAGCACACGACTTGTTTCTCTATTTGTGATCGTGACTAAACTTAAACCATTTTACAGGCAGCGGCTCCTTCGGCGACATCTATCTGGGCATGAGCATTCAGAGCGGCGAGGAGGTGGCCATCAAGATGGAAAGCGCCAGCGCTCGCCATCCCCAGCTGCTGTACGAGGCGAAGCTGTATCGTGTGCTGAGCGGCGGCGTGGGATTTCCGCGTATCCGCCATCATGGCAAGGAGAAGAACTTTAATACGTTGGTGATGGATCTGTTGGGTCCCTCGCTGGAGGATCTGTTCAACTTTTGCACGCGCCACTTTACCATCAAGACCGTGCTAATGCTGGTCGATCAGATGATCGGCCGCCTGGAGTATATACATCTGAAGTGCTTCATTCATCGTGATATTAAGCCGGACAACTTTCTGATGGGCATCGGACGGCACTGCAATAAGCTGTTCCTCATCGATTTCGGTCTGGCCAAGAAGTTTCGCGATCCGGGCACGCGCCATCACATCGTCTATCGCGAGGACAAGAACTTGACGGGCACCGCACGCTATGCCTCGATCAATGCCCATCTGGGCATCGAGCAGTCGCGCCGTGATGACATGGAGTCCCTGGGCTATGTGATGATGTATTTCAATCGCGGCGTCTTGCCCTGGCAGGGCATGAAGGCCAACAACAAGCAGCAGAAATATGAGAAAATCTCCGAGAAGAAAATGTCCACGCCCATCGAGGTGCTCTGCAAGGGCTCACCGGCCGAGTT